GAGGAGGCGGAGGAGGAGGAGGAGGAGGAGGAGGAGGCGGAGGAGGAGGAGGAGGATTGTATGACGTTGCTGTAGGCAGAGTCACAAGATTGATTTATCTGCCGCTTTCCGGGCCCCGCGACCCTCGCGGCCCATTTTCCGGGTGACGACGGGCGGATGGTCGTTTGTCTTTTTGTATGCTTGTGTTTATCCCTCTCATCCTCTCTCCCTTCATGGGGTCCCCTTTTTTGTTTGTGGCGCGTTTCTTCTTTGTCTGGAGTGCAATGTTATTTTGGTATGATTGTTCTTTTGGTTGTTCTCTCTCTCTCTCTCTTTCTCTCTTCCTATCACGCTGGTGATCCTTATCTCGTACGTTGGCCCTGCCTGTCGCTCTGTCTGACCCCGCCGCCGACCTCTCTCCTGCCACTCGTGTAGTATTGTCTTTGCCGTTGTACTGTCTTGCGTCTCCTTTTCATGTCGTGTACACGCTCCGGCTCTGTTCGTTGTATATTCATCGCTCTTGTTTTACGTTTCCTCTAATCTCTCCGTCCCGATCCGCCTTCCTTCTCATCCTTCCATCGTCAGTTCTCTTGCCTCGCCGCGTCCGCCACACATCGTCACGGCTTGAGATAGCAGCTACCCCTGCAGCTCTGCATCGCCCGATAACGTTTCCAGTTCGGGAGGTGCGTTGAGAAGATCGCATGGAAGAGGGGATGCGGGAGGGGAGAGGTTGGGCGAAGGAGGATGCGGGGCGATGAGGCGAAGGAGGATGCGGGGCGTGCTGAGGAGAAACAGTACGAGGAGCGTGGATGGATACAGTGATGACGACGATGGAGCGCAGCAGGTGGAGGACGAGGGTAGGAAGATGACAGACCAGGAGGTGGCAGGGGACTGGGGGTCGCAGGACTTGGTGGGAGGGGGGGGGTAAAGGGCAAGGAAGAGGAGGATGAAAACGAGGAAGAGGAGGACGAGGAGGATCAATAGCAAACGTTGAGGACAACAACAGCAGCAGAAGGAGAGGAGCGAGATAATGGTCCAGGGGAAGCGACGGAGTGGCATGATACGGAGTGGGAGGAAAGTTTGGTATTTCACGGCGAAGAGGATGGGGAGGGAGGTGATCAAAATGAGGATGGCAGAGCTGGGAGGAGGGATGAGGGAGACTTGGGAGGGGGAGGAGGACGAGGAGGAGGAGGAGGAGGAGGAAGATGAGGAGGAGAAGGGAAGGCTGATACGTAAGTAGATGGGGTACGGAGGGGGTGGAGGATGAGGCGGCGGGAGCAGGAGGAGCGAGCCGGGGGGGGGGGGGGGCAGGGCGTAACTTGAGAGAGTTTGGGGGGAGACGGGTAGGGCGGACAACGGGAGAAGGAGAAGCAGGAGCAGGAGTCCAGGAGGGCGGCGAGGACGAGGTTGAGGAGGCGGATGATGATCATTTCGCCTCACCCTCTGAAGAACCTCGGTGCCGCCGCTGTTCGCGGCGGGCTATGCGGGCTACCTGGGTAACGCCCGAGACGGCCCACACCCCGCTGGCGGAGAGAGGGAGGGAAGGAGGAGGAGGGGAGGAATGGTGGAGCAAGGATGGCTCTCGGTAGCAAGCAATGGAAACCTGGTATACCCTCGAAATTCCGTCTTTCGAGTTCATTATCGAGGATTGGCGTCTGGTAATCTAGCGTCGACGAGTGTCGATAAATGTAAGTTAGCGTCCACTAGCGTCGATTAGCGTCAGCCAACAGTAGGACATGGGAGGCCCCAGCGAGTTGCCACCGGAGATGGTTTGGTGACGGAGGTTGTGCGGGTTTCCCAGCTTTTAGGCCCCGTGAGTGTCGCCAATGCAGGGGCCGCATTGGAATATTGGTCATGGAGGCGGGCGAAAGGAGCACATGACGGATGGAGGGGTTATGGAGGAAAGACGGATGGACAGGGGTTGGAGGTCTCCCCTCTTCTCTCCTGCCCTCCTTCTTCGCTCCCTCTTCCCTCCTACGCTCCTCATTCTATTTCTGGGCGTCGGGGGGATGATGGGAAGAAAGGTAGGGAGTTAGGGAAGACACATAGTTTGCGAGTTCTCGACGGCTTGAAAGCATGTTTCAGGCGCTTCTCTGCGGCAGTCGATGGGTCAGGATGATTCTGGAGAAGGCAGAGCAGGATGATCGGTACAGATGCCACTGAAAGGACCAAGTTGACGAGGACGAGGGGACGGAATTGGGTAGAGGGCGGAGGGTGGAGCTGGGAGGATGACGGCGGCACGACGGAGGGTGTAGGGGTGGGAGAGGAGGATGGATGATGGAGCTGGGAGGGAGGAGGGGGGAGCGATGAGGAATTGGGCAGGGGCATGAGAGAGGACGGATGACGCGGGATGGAGGAAGGAGGAGGGGGCAGTGAGGGAGGAGAGGAGGAGGGGGCGAGGCGAGCAAGAGGAGGCGAGGGAAGGGATAGCGAAGACATGTGCGAGTGGAGTTGGGGTCATGGGGGCCTGGATGGACCGCGGCGGGACCCGAAGCTGTGACTCCTGACCCAGAATCGAGACTGAGGGCACGCTTCTCCTTGCTCGGATGAGGTCGCCGAAGTGTTAGGTCAGGTCCGTTCGTGCTGGCCCAGCGCGGCGGCAGCGCGGGCGCGGGCGGGGGCGATCACAGTTGGTAAGCCCCGACAGCCTCTGGGGACCTCAGAAAGCGGCGGAGACCGTACCTTTGCTGCGAGCGAGGAGGGGAAGGGAGAAAGAGATCCTTTTCAGAAGGCGGCGGGATTTCTCAGAAGCCTTCGTGCCTTCTCAGAAGGTTTTCTGTATCTCCGGGAAGGCTAAGAAGACTTATCATAAGGCTGTGGGATTTCCGAGCCTTCTGAGAAGGCCCGCCCATGCTCACTGCCCCCTTGGACTCGCCGCCGAGTACCATAATGAAAAGTTCGCACGTCGACGCAATCCAGAGCCAAGCCCGCCTTGACAGGAACGTGCCGCAATCGACGCCATCTTTCCTGAGGGGGATGCGTTCACTGACCTCGGAGGTCGGTTATCTCCCTGGCCCTTCCCCGAGCCCTTTCGAGACACCGCCGCTGCCCTGGACTCTGGCTTGCCTCCCTGCAGAGGTCTGCCTTGTGCAAAGCTGACGGCGCGCACAGTGTCGGCCAATGTGATTTTGCCGCGTGTAATACCGCAATGCCATGTGCATGGCAGGATAGGAGAGGACCTTGTATACCCGGAGGGGCTTCGCCCCATGCCGCCGTCCCCTTGTCTCGGATGATGGGAGGTGCAAAAGCTAAGTCATGAGATCTGGGCGCCGCCGTGAAGCAGTGTCGGGACCTGTTTGGTTTTCGACCCTGACCCTACGGATCTGCATGAGGGGTGCCACCGAATTTCAGAAATGTGGCAAATCCCCTGTGTGGTTTGATCCCTGACCCTACGGATCTGCGTGAGGGGTGCTGCCGAATTTCAGAGATGCGGCAAATCCCATGCGTTTTCGGACCTTGACCCTGTCGATCCGCGTGAGGGGTGCCACCGAATTTTAGAACTGTTGAGAATCCCATAGGTTTTCTGACCCTGACCCCGCCGATCTGCGTGAGGGGTGCCATCGAATATCAGAAGTGTGGCAAATCCCATGTGTTTTTGGACCCTGACCCCGCCGATCTGCGTGAGGGGTGCCACCGAATTTTAGAAACGTGGCGAATCCCAGATATGGTTTTGGACCCTGACCCTGCCGATCTGCGTGAGGGGTGCCACCGAATTTACGAAATGTAACAAATCCTGTGTGTTGTTGCACCCTGACCCTACGGATCTGCGTGAGGGGTGCCACTAAAATTTGAGAAATGTGGCAAATCCCGTTTATTTTTTAACCCTGACCCTACGGATCTGCGTGAGGGGTGCAGCCGAATTTCAGAAATGTTGCAAATCCCATTTGTTTTTGGACCCTTACCCTGTCGATCCGCGTGAGGGGTACCACCGAATTTCAGAAGTGTGGCAACTCCCCTGTGTTTTTTGGACCCTGACCCCGCCGATCTGCGTGAGGGGTGTCAATTTTCACCCACCCCAGCAATTCAGACAACATGCTCGCTCAGGTCGTGCTAAACCTACCCGTTTGGGCCTCCCCCCCTCGCGCGGTCCATCAACAAGGAACAGTAAGCAGCAAGAAGCAGAACTGTAACAGTGGAACCTGGAAGCTGCAACTGGTGCAGGAAGCTGCGAACCTTCGGCCTACAGCCTGGTGGCCCCACAAGGGGGCCGGCGCACTTCCTGGATCATACCCTGGCCGAGCCCTTGATTACCTACCTCATTGGACTCGCGTCTGGTGGCACCCTGACCAGTCTTCCTCCCTGAAAGAATTGGTGGAGGTAAGTCGAGGACTTTCGGGCCGCCTCACGTGTCACTGTTCAGTGATGTCGGCGGTTGGTGGTGGGATGAGGGTGGAGGGGGGAGGCAGGATGGAGGGGGGAGGCAGGAGGAAGTTGGAGGCAGAGGAAAGGAGGAGGAACACGAGAAGCAGGCAGAGGGAATCGGAGGAGGAGGAAGAAGAGGGGATGTGGAGCAATAGACACGATGAGGTGCACATAGAGGTCAAATATAAGCAGGTGCAGGAAGTGAAGGAGGAATAAGTCACTTGCTCCTCCGTCCTCCTGGGCCTCCCTCCTCCAGTCCCGAGGACGGCGTCCGGAGGCCGGGAGGAGCGAAAAGGCTTGGGCGTGCTTCTTCCGTGCGTAGCCATTTTGGCCCAATTCACCTTGGGTTGAGCCGAAGTCGCAGGCCCCTCGCAGCCGCGCCCCATCTCGCGGCCATGCCATCAACCGAGGACGCGATCAAGTCCGCCGACGTGGTCTTCTTCGACAGTGCGGGGTGCCCCTTCTGCCGCCAGGCGGAGAGCGCGCTGACAGACGCGGGCATCGCCTTCACGAAATTCGACATCGGCGAGCACCGTGATCAGCTGAAGGAGAAGACGGGGAAGACGTCCGCGCCGTCCGTGTGGGTCAAGGGTACTTACATCGGTGGTTGCAACGACGGCACCTTGCCGTGGCATGGCGTCAAGCCGTGCATCAAGAGCGGCAAGATCAAGGAGCTGCTCGGGTGAGGAGCAAGGGGAGACTGAGCGGAAGAGCTGAGAAGCGATGGCGGACCCCTCTTCCTCGCACTGAACTCCTCGTCACCATTCCCCCCCTCACACACCCCTCTTCAGTTCTCAGCATCTGGGCGAGGCCAGGTCGACGCGCAGCCGACCAGCGCATGCTCCAGCCGATCTACAGGGCGATGTTCCTCGATTTTGAAGAGGGGTGTTTTTCGCTACCTGCGCACTGTCCCCATATGGCCTGCGAGCAATGTGCAGAGTTCGCGCGGCATGGGCGGGTGCGCCTCGATTGAGCTATGCATGGTCGAAGCGTTAGGTGCAAGTGCATTGCTCAAGAGACCGGCGGATGCCCGCAAAATCATGTGTGAATAGATTTCGCGTTTCTTGTTTGAGCCGTCATAGGTCGGCGGCGGGGTGAGGAAAAGTACCAGCTCTTGGCATCGCTCGGATATGAGCATCTTTTCTCGGCGAGGACCATCGAGGACCACTCTGGACCACCTTGCGGAACAATTCACGCACGAAGCCGAAACATGCACGGGGAATGGACGTCCGAGCGATGGCAAGAGCTCGCGGGACGGCAGCTGCACACCACCGTGATGATCTCGGGCAGGCCCGTGCTGGGTCCGGGATCGGTGCCTCTGCGTGCGCTCCCGGCCAGACCAGGAGAGCGCACGCACGCTGGTCTTGGGCCCTTGGATGGGCGAGGTGTACCCGTCGGTCGTTGGCAGCAGGTCTTTCTGGGGCCCCAGATCCCAGATCATTTCGAGCGCCTGCCTACTTCAAGAGCCGATATGCGATTGCTGTGTGCTGTTGTTCTCTCGGAGGGCCTGAGCCCAAGATGCTTGATCCGCCTTCCTGCTTCACGTTTCTACCCACTTCTTCTGATCGACGTGTAATGTTCGTCTGCCTTGCAGCGGGAGCCGGCGGAGCAGCGGCAGCCCTTTTACCAGCCGCTCGCCCGTCCGCAGCGCCAAGGCGCCGAGCCGCGCGGGAGCGGCGGCGGCGCGGGCGCCGACAGCCAGCCATCTGGCGAGCAGGCTCCCCACCGCCGACGTCGCCGCTGTCTTCGTAGCCGTTGTCGCCATCGTCGCCGCCGGCGTCGTCGCTGCCGTCCCCCTCCTCGTCGCCGTCCTCGTCGCCGCCGTCCTCGTCGCCGTCCTCGTCGTCGTCGTCGTCTTGCAGAGGCATCGAGACAGAAACGATCTGGACACCGCTCCCAGAGCTGTTGAGTGGAGCCGTCGTCGTAGTCGTCTTCGTGGTCGTCGAGGTTCCAGGGTTCCACGTGTTTTGATGTTTCTTGACATGTTTGGCTCTGTGGGCGGCTTCTCTTCGCCCTGGCTGCACCTGCTTCGGGAGTACAGTCAGAACGCGACCTTGCAGAGGTCCTGGGCAACTTCCTGAGTGGAGTTGGTCATGACGTTCCCCGCAGTTTTCTTGTCGTTTCGGCGGGCTCTGACGTGGCCTCTGGAGGGGGAGGAGGAGGATAAGGAGAATGAGAAGAGAGGACGAGGTGAGGAGGAGGCGGAGGATGATTTGGCATTTGGGGGAAGGGGGACAGAGGAGCAACCAGGGCACCCACGATGCGTCAACGATGCTGCAACGCACCCGCCTGTCCCATTTCCCCGCCTCACAGGTCCCTGCAAGCGTCCCGCTCACTTTGGGAGCCGCATTCTTGAAACACGAGTGACTGGCCCATGTACCTGCCAGTCCCGGCGAGAGCCCCGGTATCAGAAAAAGTCGGCGTCCACCTCTGTTGTCGGGACGGACCATCCTGTCCGAGGAAGTGTCCAGCTAGAGCCCCGCTTCGAAGCAGGGCAGCCCTGCAGTCGTGCCGTTCACGCGATGGTAACATCTCGTCTGTGTTGAGCATGTATTGGCCTCCGTCCACGAAGTTGTTGCATACATGTCTAACTTCCCCTGCCATGCCGTTCAAGAACGTCCTCGAGCGGTGGGCACACAACAGGCATGACCGCCCCGTCCTCCGTCCGTGCAACGGTCCGAAGTGCGTCAGATGCACGTGTGCGACCCTAAGGCAAGATGCACCTGCTGAAAACGGGTCGCCCCCCTAGAAGGTGAGTTTTCGCGGCGCTTGGGCGAGAGCCACGTTTTGATAATCACTTGCCTGTCATCAGTGCCGGAAGTTACGAGCTTTCAGGTCATGGAAGGACGTCTTACGCACGCGGCACGCCTTGACCGATCTGCTGACCTGGCCCGCCTGGAGGAATTGTATACAAGGAAAGTGGTGCTTTTGTTTGTGTTTAAGGTCCCTTGGGGCAGGGCTCTGCTTGCACCCTACGCGATCCATCTTCCCACCTTTCATATTGAATGGCTCCTACGCGGGAGCCCAGATGGCTACCGAGGAGGAGAAGAGGAACGGATAGTTTACCTGCATCGGGTTGTTCCTTTCGTCCGAGGCATGGGCGCCCTGAGGCGACGCATCGCCGTGCGAGCGCAGCGGCTGGAGGCTCGGAACCGCACGCTTCGGAGTTGTAGTGGGTCTCTCCATTCTGGCCTTGTTCGCCTGGCCAGGCTCCGTGCGGCAGCGGCGCGCGGCCCGCTCCGCCGAAGCGGAGCGAAGAGGACCGGGCCCCGCAGGCGGCGCGTGCCGTGGAGCGCGCGGTGTCCCTGCGGTCGGCCCGCCTGCGGGTGCTGCCCGCGCACCGCAAGAGCTTGTCGAAGGCGCCGCGCGCCGCCGCCCCCCGTGCCCGACGCCGCTGGCGACGACGACGGCGACGACAACGACGACGACGACGACGAAGGCGACGATGACGACAACGACGACGACAATCGTCTTAAGACTGATCGCTCTTCCTGGCACGCGTGTCTTGCATTCTGTATACCCCAAGCGCTTCTTGCCTCCACGGTTGGATTCATCTCTGAAATTCTGGTCGGTGTGCGTCCCAAGAGAGGTTCGGGGGCTGACTTCCAGTACGTTCGTTACCTCGCACCTGGCTCCTGCGGCATCGACAAATTGTTTCACTCCTCGTCTTCCTTTTCCACCATTTCTCCAGCGACATCGCAACCGCTCCTCACTCCTCCCGTTCTTGTTAGTCTGTCCCATCTAGTTAGTCTGTCCCGCGGCATCGCAGCCATTCCCCAGAGAAGGATGCTGGCAGGAGGGCAGGAGGATAATGTAGCAGGAGGAAGGAGGAGGAGGAGGATGAGGATGAGGAGGAGGAGGAGGATGAGGAGGAGGAGGAGGAGGGCGATGCCGCAGGAGGGATGAGGGAGGCGGACGAGGAGGCGGCGGAGGAGGATCAGGATCGATCTGATGATGAGGAGGAAGAGGAGGAGGAGGAGGAGGGATGGGGGAAGAAGAAGGTGGGATGAGGCAGGAGTCGAGCACACGAGAGGCTTGGGACCCGAAGCAGGATCACCACGAGGACGACGGGGAGGAGGCGGAGCGGCACCGCACCACGCGCAGGGTGAGCCCCCGCGGGCTGCGCGGAGCCCAGCAGCAGCCCGTGCGGAGGAGGGCGGCCCCCCGCGGGCCACGCCCCGGGCCGCGCCTCTCGGTGCGCCAGCGGGGCGGGGCACCGCGGCCCGAGCTGCCGCCGGCCGCGCGAGGGCGGCCGCCTCGGGGCGCCGCGCTTCGCTCCGGCGCGGCGCGCGGCGCGCGGCGTGCGGCGTGCAGCGTGCCGCGGGCCACCCCGTTTCCCCGCCCCCGGGTGGCCTGGAGTTCGCTCCCGGCGAGAGGTTCGCGCACGCCCTTTGCCGCAGCTCTCGGGGGCGGAAAAGAGGGGGGTGATGACTAGGGGGGGGTGGATATCATGGCGTGGGCCATGATATTTCCCCAGATTTCATGGCGCCTCTTCTTGTTTCATTACGTCCCTGGCCCCCCCGCTGGGCCGCGCACATGCCGCCGGCCATGATTCGCACCCCCCCCTCTTGGACACCACCCTCTTTGCCGCTCCCGAAGCTCAGCGACGCGCGCAAGGGGGGTCTCCTCTGCCTCTACGAAGGCTTAGGTCGGGCATGTCCCCCTACAGGCGGATTTTGGACGAAGAACCGAAGATACCCCAACACATACCCCAACATATCCAAGACATACTCAAAACATCGTCCCTAGACTATTTTGTTGACTGTTTTTGAATATTCCTCCCGTAGAGGGGCATGCCCGACTTAAACGAAGGCGGGGGGGTCCAAGAGGGCAGATGGCCTTCTTGAAGGCTAGCGCTCGGCGTGTCTCTCAGCGTGTTCGTCGGTTGGCTCGCTTTGCTCGTTCACTCTGATCGGTCGCTCGGCACTCCTCCTGCGGAGGCTCTGGCGGCCGGGGTGCGCTCGTGGTGTGAAGTCGGGCATGCCCCTGTACAGGAGGAATCTTCAAAAATAGTCCCAAACAAGTATTGGACTGATGTTTGGGGCATTTGTTTGCCATTATTGACCATGTTTCGAGGATTGCTTATGTTTCGTCCAAAATTCCGAACTGGAGGGGGACATGCCCGACCTAATCGTGGTGCTCGTTCGCGGGCTCGTTCGTTCGGCCCCCGCCCCACGCGGGCCCCCGGCCCCGAGGTGTTGTGCCGCGCTGTGCTGTTCCATTTCCTGCAGGACCGCCGCTGCCGCTGCCCTCCTTGGAGCAGGGCGGTTGGGTATTATCAGGGACGATCGATTCTCAATCCTCGATAATCAAAGTTGCTGGATGGTTTTTGGAGTTGTTAGGGCCTCCATGGACCATGGATGGAGAGGAGGGGGGAACATCAGAATTAAGAAGATGACGACGACGATAGAGGAGGGAGGAGGGGGGAGGGGGAGGGGGTAGGAGGGAGGACGAGGACGGACGAAGGCAAGGGGGAGTGGGGGGGGGGGGGGCGAGTGGAGGAGGGACGATTGATCCCCGATGCTTTCGAACCCTTTCTTGTAGTTGTCACGCTTAACTTTTGTGCAGTTTCCTGACCATTGAAGGCCTCCACAGTCGCCGAGGAGGAGGAGGATGAGGAGGCTTCTGGCTTCTGGGGGCAGGAGGGATGAGTGGGAGTAGGACGAGGAGGAGGGAGCACGAGGCAGGAGGTGGCATTAGGAGAACAAGGACGGACGGCGACGAGGAATGAGGATGAGCGGAAGTCTGGGTTTGGGGGTGAGGAAAGGGGAGGCAGGGGGGAGAGGATGAGCAAGAGTGTGTGAGGGTCAAGTTGGCTAGGTCGAGCGAGTCCTCACTTCTATTCTTCCACCCACGACATTCGAAAACATATGGACGCAACTGGATATTCGGACTGACGCGCGTTCCCACCTTGCAAACGGAATACTCGCGCACGGTCCCACTTCGGACGACGTGTCCTTGGGGAGCACCACGGTCCGCGCACATGCGGGATTGGATGTATCAAACATGTGTTTGTCATTGCGCTTCGGCGAGCGAGAGCACCATTCAACTTTCTCGTACGGCCAAATCCCCGATCAGGGCGATGCAGACAAAGCATGCGCCACATCTGCGCGGTGTTCGGGCTGGAGCCTAGAACAGCATTGCGCCCGCTCTCGCGCGGCACCGCTTCCGCTTGCCGGCGACTCGGCGAGCGACCGCTACGCACCGCCCCGCAGCGAGAACGCCACGCCTACGCGAGACTCGAGGTCGGCAAAGAGGGGGGTGATGGCTAGGGGGGGGTGGATATCATGGCCAGGGCCACGACATCTTCCCCAAACGCACGGCCCCCCTTGTGATTTCAATACGTCCCCTGCCCCCCCCCCCCCGGGTCCGCGCCCATGCCTCGGGGGTCGGGGACTTGGACGCCCCCGAGAGGTGCGCACGGAGCTCGGGCGGTGGCGGCAAGTTATCCCTTGCCTCCGTGGGCACGCTGTCAGCGGCCAGGCGGAATCATGTACCGCGCCAAATCGGAAGCGCCATTGTCAGGAGGGAAAAAAACACACAGACACAATTAATCGTCGATTCCCAAGAAAATATTGGAAAATATGGGAATTGGGGGGGAAGACAAAAACCCAGAAAATATAGGAAAATATGGGGGATCTTGCTATTTGTGTGAATTTATTTGTGTGTCCCAGGGCCCCTTCACATTGTCAGGCGAATTCTGCGCGGCGCATGGGCGAGACGCCATTTCGCCCGCTCGCGCTCGACCCCGTTGTCGATGAGCTGGCGAGTGAAGCATGCGCGCCGCGCCACCAATCGATTCCGGTTCTCAGGGGAAGTGCGCACTGCGCCGAGGCGGGTGGTTACATTTCGCCTGCTGGCGCGCGATGTGCCCCGCGTACCACTAGCGCCGCGTATTTTGCAAAGTGAACGGCGTACCATGTTGAGAAGGGACACATCTGTGTGCGCCTTCTGTTGCAACGACCCAGAAGGGAGGTAATCGGCTGGTTAGGAGGCAGAGAGGATGCCCATGCAGAAAAGAGAGGGCGCATAGCCAAAGCAGGGTAAGCATGATGAGATGTAGGGTCATGTGGCGGAAGCTGAGGATGATTTCCATTTGAGCGTGGCGGAACTGATGAGGGTGACAAAGGTTGAGGAGGAGGAGGAGGAGGAGAAGAGGAAGGATGACAAGCAAGAGTAGACGGAGGAGGAGCACGAGGATAATGCGGAGGAGCAGCAGGAGGGGGAGGATGGGAGAGAGGAGAGGAGGAGAAGAGGAGAGGAGGAGCACAAAGAAGACTAAGCAGAAGAAATCGAAGCAAGGAGGAGGGGGAGGACGAGGAGGAGGAGGAGGGGGGGGAGAGGAGGGAGGAGCTGGAGGAGGAACAGGGAGAAGGAGGGAGGGGGAGTGAGGAACCAGCAGAGGTGGAGGAGGGAGGGGGGGAGGGAGAGACGAGATGGAGAAGGGATGAGGTGGATTGTGAGGACGAGGAGGGAGGGGAGGAGGAGGAGGAGGAGGAGGAGGAGGAGGAGGAGGACGAGGAGGAGGACGAGGAGGAGGTCGTTTGGGACGCTGCTTCGGGGCAGGGGGTCGCGCGTCGCGCCCCCGAGGAGGAGCAGGAGTTGGAGGGAGGGAGGGGGGAACTGGAGGCGAGGGACGCGAGGAGCCAAACATGGAGCATAAGTAAGTCAAGCGATCGCGCGTAGGTTTGTCCTGAGTGAACGTCGATGGGGCGGAAACTCGGGCAGTTATCCCGGCGCTTGGAGTCAAAACTGTGTACAGCTTTCGTTGCGTTGCTGAATTGGAAAAACAAAAAAAAGTAAGTCGAGCGATCGCACACATGGATAATGGGGGGCGTGGATTAGCGACGGGTCCCGTTCCATGGGAAGTCGCGGACTTCCACCAGCCGGATTTTGGGAAGGGCACCTCTCCAGATCCATGGATTTGGTGACCGCGCGCCAAATTCATGGATCGCTAATCCATGTTTGCGCGGGGGGCGGGGAAGCGGCGGGGAGACGGCTGGACGGAAAGGGCAGCAGGACGACGACGACCAGGGGCGGACGAGGGCGAGCAGGCTTTCAAGGAGGAGGAGGAGGAGGAGGGCGAGCAGGATGAGGATGAGAAGGGAGGAGAGGAGGAAGGGGAGAAGGAGAACGAGGAGGAGGTGGATGAGGAGAGACTGGCGCTTTGCGAATCTGGGAAGATGGTATACACGCCGGTCGTTGAAAGTAGGTATCTTTTCGGGGGCCTTGAGACGGGGGTCAATGCAAATGGGGGGTCAGCCAGAGCGCCTGTTCTTGCAGGATCCTGCAGGGCAGGGTCGCATTGACTCGGGTTTAGGCGCAGGATCCTGCAGGGTCTTGCAGGATCCTTCGCATTGACCCAGGCTTGCGTGTAGGATCTTGCAGGATTTTGCAGGATGTTGCCAGGCCCGACTGGCCTGGGTCTGGATTGACCCCGTCAGAAGATCCCCGTTTTTGGGGCTCCCAGATCCCAATACATTTCAAGTGCCTTCTTATTTCCATCATCGATCTGTTTTTGCGATGATTCTCACTCTCTGGGGGTATCCGCCTTCCTACTCCATGATTTTACCTACGTCTTCCGACCGACGTGTATGGGGAAGAGGCAGCACGCATGAGGGAGGCTGGTGGAGCGAGCGCGAGGGTGATAGGAGGATGGGAGCACTGGGGCGGCGACGCGACGACGGGGAGGAGGTGGAGCACTCGCCTCGGCCTCACGACGCGAGCCGTGCCCCCCTCCTCCACCCCGCTCACGCTGCAGGACAAGCGGCAGGCGCTCGGCCTCGGCTCGGGCCAGCCGCCGCTGTGGCTGTGGGAGGCGACCCGCCCGCCGTCGGCGGTGTCGTCGGTATCGGTGTTGGCGTCGGCGTCGTTGCCCTGCTTCCAGAGGAGGAGGACCTCCTCGTCCCTCTTCTTGTCACAATCAGACGATGTGCGGCACAGTGGCAGCAGCGTCAGCTCCTTCTCGACCTCGTCTCCGTAGATCTTCCTCCCTTGCATTCTCCCCCGCACGCGTCTTCCCTTATGCTTCCTCCCTCCCGCCCTCAACCTCTTGTATTCTCCCTCAGCCTCGTCATGCCGCTGTCTTCCTCCTTCTCCTCTGCTGACCTCCTCCCTCGAATCGCCTGTCTGCTCTTGGGACGGGGTGGGTACCCCTCATCCATTCCAGCCGCATTCCAGTATTATTATTCCTCCTCCGCGCGGATCGAGATGCGGTTGCGAGTGTCAACCAGGCGCCCCCCCCCCCCCATGGCGAAACGTTGTTAGATCATAGGCGCGGCGCGTAACCCCACCAGCGGTTGGCTAGTGGCACCTGCGCTGTCCGCGCACCCTGGCCGCCGAGGGGCCTCGTTTCTCTCGCGCCATTTTGGCTGCGTTCCCGCCCTTGGTGCTCGCGCGCGGTGAAGTTCTACTCGTACGGCAGGGTGTGTCGGGCATGTTTCAGCTGTTCCTGTTAGGCAAGGGTGGCTCTGCCCCTGGTCCTCGTGCTCTTCGTCATCGGCACGCTCTTTTGGCGGCGGCTGCGCGGGCCGGGCGGTACTTCTGTACTACCCCTTCTGCCTGCCCGACGCAGCTCGCCTCGCTGTTTGTCCCTTAGCTACGGAACGCGGCCCGCCCTACATTGATCTGCGTTCGACTCGTCTTCGCGCGCCCGCGGGCCAAAAAACAATCCCGCCAGCTTATCCAGACACGATGCCCAGACGAGTTGCCCTGATCAGGGCTGTGTAGAATAATGTCATGGAATCCAAGGCTGGGTATGCCGTCGTACCACCAAACCGGGATAAACGAGCTGATGAGGAAAAAGAGGGAGAGGAGGACTCCGAGGACAAGGAGGACGAGTAGGAGGAGTATGAGGAGGAGTATGAGGAGGAGTATGATGATGAGGAGGAGGAGGAGAAGGAGGAGGAGGAGAAGGAGGAGGAGAATGAGGAGGAGGAGGAAGAGGAGGAGGAGGAGGAGGGAGGAGGAGGAGGAGGGATAGGAGGAGGAGGAGGAGGAGGAGGGCTATCAGAAAACGCCGGATGCCTCGTGGGTGCCCCTCGGAGTCACATTGGATTTATCACTAGAGTTGTTTGCGTCCTCTGGTGGTGTCTAGGAGGTATTTGGGCAATCCCGGTGGGTGACCTTTTAAGGCTTTGTGGCTGCTTTTCCCAGGGGAACGCGAAGTGGAACATGAGGTGACGGAGAGGGTTACGGTGATGGAAAAGAAAAGACACATGCGCAGGAGGAGCGGGACCTGGTGCAGCAGCAGGATACGCGGTGTGGGACGCGTGGGGGTCGGGGGGGTCGTTTGATCTCCCATGACGCCGCCCGCCCAGGCGCGGCGCGCTCAGGAACACTCCTCTGCCGGGAACGTGGGCCTTCTCGTCAAGCGCCCTACCCCAGCGGCGTTGACCTCTCGTAGAGTGCAGGGATGGCAGTGTCATGCCAGAGGGGCGTGCAGGAAGAGGGGGGAAGAGAGACCGACTGAAACACTTATCAATCCGTATTTGCACATTCCCGAGACAGCGCTCGCGATTCAGGTGCCCAACTGTTTCCTTAAGGGCCTGGGTTCCGTTGCTAAGTCCGCCGTCTCGTTGCCGCCGTCGCCGCCTCATCGCCGCAGTTGTCGCCCGTCGTCCGTCGCCGCCCCGTCGCCACCCCGTCGCCGCCTCGTCGCCGCCCGTCGTCGGGTCCCGTTGCCGGGTCCGCCGCCTTGTTGTCGCCCTCGCCGCCTCGTCGCCGCCCGTCGTCAGTGTCACAGTTTGATTTTATGTGTTTTGCACTGCGTTGCTCCGAACTGTTTCACATCGCCTTGACTTGTGTGGTTGTTGAATTGTTCGCGTTGCTGTACATTGCTGCACAAGGCTTCGCATTGCTTTGTTTGCGGTTTAGCCTGCACCACATGGGTTGCACCACCTAGATCATTGCACCGCCTTGACTGCACCGCCTAGATTGCACATCGTACTTCGTTCGCAACACCTAGAATGCACAGCATACATTGCACAATCTCACTGTTAGGGGCCCGCGCTGGTTATTGTTTTGTGTACACATCGGTTCTTGGGCACGTAGAGAAGATGGGGAATAGAGAGATAAAGAGAGACAGGACTGTATGGACATACAGGGACATACATATATACATACATACATACATACGTACATACATACATATATAGAGAGATAGAGAGAGAGCTATAAACAACACAATAGAGCCAACAACACGTGCGAAGGAGAGAGAGAGAGAGAGGGATGGGAGGACATAGATATTGAGAGAGAGAGAGAGAAAGAGAGAGAGAGAGATACAACAAAAAAAAACGAGAGAGAGAGAGAGAGAGGAAACAGGAACGAGAGGGAGAGTTTGAGAGGGGACGCGCGTCAGACAAACATATGCAGATAACGATGTGGGCCAGGACTCCGGGGACAAGCATGGTCGGCAGACGCAGGGATTGTAGCCATAAAGCTGCAAGCAGGTGAAGTCCAGACATGTCTGGCCGGATGAGGATGATGAGACGGAGCTCTACCCCGCCAGCTCCCTCCCCTCGCTGGGGCCGCGCCAGCGCCAGGTACTTGGCAGAGACAGAGCTTCATATCGAAGAGGGCGCGCCCCTCCCACCACGTCAGTCTCCTCACATTCCTCCTCCGCTTCGCTGCTATGGACCCGACTGCTCGCACAGCTCCTTTTTGCGCAAACGTGAAATCAGTTTTAGGCCAATGTTGAAATCCTCCCGACCTGCCAGTAAGCAGTAAGCAGTGTTGCAAGTTCTCAGCTGTTGCCACACAGTTGACTCCAGCAGGCGTTTTGCATGTTGGATGCTTTTTATATGGATGTTCTATGCTCAAGTGGCTTACGCCATCCCGTCGGCCCCCACAGGGAGTGAGTGTTTGAGACGATCGTGCAAGTGATACTTGGGGTCAGGAGAGTCTTGGATGCATATGAGGGGCTCTTGGCGTGCTTTTCAGGGGCCTCTTGGAGGGCTCTTGGGGGCATCTGGGGGATCTGGAGGGCTTCATGGAGGTCTCTTGGGGCGTCTTGGGAGCCGCTTGGACAGCTTTTTGGGGCTTTTAGTGGGCGCCTCTGATGCTTCTGGGGGCCTCTTTGGCCCATCGGGGGGGAGAAGAGCTCAGAACATTTCACTTGGAGGCTTGAAGGAGCGTCTCTGGGGGATCTTCGGGCACCCAAGGGGTATGAGGGGGATGAGTGGGTTCGGGGAACAAGATCAGAAGGAGGGGTCATTTTGGGCAAGGAGGAAGGACAAACCATCTTGAGGAGGGGACGACGAAGGAAAAGGAAGAACACAGCGATGACGAATGGAACATAATGTGGAACTGCGGCGAACACGGCAGAAGAAGACCGAATGCGGTCGCGTCGGTCGCGGAAGTTACCTATCGGCCCTCGGCCCAGCGTACCAGGCCCGCGGGCCAGGGGCCGCGCTGATGCATGTGAGAGTCTCCGGGGATGCCTTCAAGGTTCCCCCTGGAGGTGTCGTGGGGGCATTGGCAGGGATCGTTTCGATTTCTCCGATTCGATTCGATTCGACTTCGATAGTTTCCGATTCCGATTAAACTCGATTTCGGATTCCGATTTTGGATCCGATTTTTGATTGGAGGCCTTTTAGCCTGCCGATGTTTGCTGATTCGATGTTTCCCGATTCGGCTGCCGATATCCGTGGATCCGATTCACGTCGATCGCCGATCCGACTTGTCGATTCGATTCTGGGCTCTCATGCATTTGTTTTTTTGGGGGGGGCTGGTCGGGTTCCTCTTGGGAGGAGCGCGCAAAAATAACGAGGTCTGTCACGGGCCTGCTTGAGGGTCTCTTCGAGGCTTGCGGGGGGACAATTGGGGAGTGTAACGGGGCCGCTCGAAGGCTTCTTCGTGGCCTCCTAGTGGAGGTTTGAGAGTTTTGTGGGAACATGTTTGGTTGATCATGTGGGTCAGTGGCCATGAATGCAACATGGCCCCCAGATGGAGTACATGCTTGCGGCGATCGTGAAAATTATCGAGTGATGTTTGCCCACCCCGTCACCTTGCCTGGGCGGTTTGCCAGGAGCTGTCTATTTGAATCTGAGGGTCTCTTGGGATTTCTCTCCTGGGGCCTCTTGGAAAACTCTTGCATCTGGGAAGCTTTTGGGGGCTTCGTAGCGACCTCTGGGTGACCTCTTGGAGGCTTCCTGAGGCCTCTTGGAGGGCCCCCAGGGGCCTCTGGGGTCTCGAGGGTCCATCTTGGTGGGGGAGGCTCGAAATGTCTGTTCGTATTCCCCCTCTTGGGCGAGTCTTCTTGGGGGCCCTCCAGGGGTTGCCTTGGTCCGCATTGGGGCGCCCCTTGGGCTGTCTTTGAGCCCTCTTGGACCGTCTTGGTGCCTTCTTCGAGGCATCATGGGCCGTCTTGAGACGATCTTGGGGGCCACTTGGGCCGTCGTGTTCGCTGTCAAAGCGCAAAATGCGAAGCTGTTGAACATGTACATTTTTCCCATGTATTGGGATGCTTTGGGCTTTATTGGGGGCCTCGTGGGCTATCTTGAAGCCATCTTTGATCGTCGTGAGGCTGCCCTGGGCCGTCATGACGCTCTCTTAGACTGTCTTGGCGCTTTGTCTTGGTCCTGTTGGGGGGTCTTGGGGTTTTTTGGGGGCTCCAGAGACCCCAGGAGTGCGTTGACGAGCTCGTGCCCCTCCCCCCCAGAATGGTTTTTTGGACCCCAGGGGAGGGGGAAAGGGGGAACCACCACTAAGCCGTGCATCCGGTAGGACGCGTGGGCGGAAGAGCGCGCAATTGGCGACTCTTCAGAAGAACTGCAACCGAGAGCGAGAACGCTGAGCGCCCCACGACTGTGAAGCAGGCAGCGGAGCGCAACGCGACTGTGAAGCAGAAAATGGAAACCATACTGCTCCGAGGTACACGTAGAGGGAAAAAGGGAAAAAACAAGGCGAGGGGAGGAAGACAAGGACGGGGGAGGTGGGGCCTCAGATGTGCTGCGTCATCTCGTACACTTGGGAAGCCCACTGCTGTCTGGGCCGGCCGCGCCGCCGGTGTTCCACCCAGTTGCGTGGGGTACCGTCCAGATTACATAAACATTGACGTACCAAGGACGAAGGTGCACTGGAAGCGACACGGATGTATAGTTTGCGTTGTTTGTCAAGTAGAAGCTGAGATAGCGGTTTGGCGCCCGCTTTTTCCAATACGCTCGAATTACTTATTCGCGAGAAGAAAGAATGCGGAATGCCCAGGATTCGGCGGAGGCAGCGGCAGTGGAACGCGTCGAGCCTCGACTTGTCAGCCTTCAATAACCACAGGGAATCGAGCGAGTACAATAGCTTACTTACCACCACACTGTCATACACTTTGAACTTTCGTTTCCATCCAACAGCGGTGTGCGACCAAATCTTAGCAAGCTTGTTGAATATGCCATATGCTTCCCCCAATCGGCGGTTGAGTTCGGTGGTGGCATTACCGTCACAAGAAACCATCCCGCCCAAGTAAACGGCTTCCCGGACAGCTTTGATAGGACCACCATCAGGCCGAACAACGACGACGTTGGTTGAGATCTGCATTTGTAATGTCTTGTCCCAGTTAAGCTCGAGTCCGTATTTACAGCCTTCTCCAACAATAGCGTTCAGCATGCTCTGGACGTTTGCCTTGCTCTGCGACAACAGTAGTGTGTCATCTGCATATAGAATGTCACGCGTCACCACATAGGCGGGTTCGGCTTCGAAGTTGATGGGCCCAAAAGCATCGTGCAACATAACGGTCTGTACTGCAATAAATAAGTATGGGGAAAGTGGGCATCCTTGTGCAATTCCTGCCATTTGCCGTCTTTCTTTGGATTTCCCCGTGTGGTCCACAATCGTGAAGTAGCGCTCAGCGTAGATAGCTTCGACCATGGCCACGATGTCCGAGGGAAGCCCAAATCGTCGTAAAGCGTCGCACATGCTTGTAGGTTTGAGTCTGTCGAACGCTTTAGCCCAATCCAACATTAACAAAATGAGGCCGCCGTGCTTGTTGCTGCGAGCCGCGTCAATCATGCGCCGGACGAGCATGAGCGCGTCTGCCGTCCCGCGCCCAGGGCGGAACCCAAATTGTGATCCGCGCATTCGAGACTCAGCGCCACCTTGAATTAGACGTTGATGGATCATGGAGGCTAGGAGCTTATACCCAATTTGGAGTAAAGATATGGGTCTGTAGTTCTCTGGCAATTTGATATTTCCTTTCTTGAACAAGAGAACCACGTTCGCGCGCCTCCAAGACTCGGGAATTGCTTTGTGTTCCCAGCATGTCTGGCACAGGCGAAGCATTATAGCAGAGGCATCTGGATCTGATCCCAAAGTTTTCCAAAAGTCCGGCGGGATACCATCGGGCCCCGGAGCCTTGCCACGACGTAGCCGGCGCAGCGCTCCAACCAGTTCATCCGGGATGAAAGGGCCCGTGTTGATAGGTAGCAAATCACCTATGGGAGCTCGCGGTTCCGGGACATTCTCTGGGAAGCGTATTTGCCATTGGATGTCTTCGAAGTAGTCGGCCAAAACGTCTGCTCGATCAGCTGTGTCTGCCAGGGTCCCGTCCGGGCGCTGTATTGTCGCGTGCTTGATGCTTGGAGGTTTTCTGAGATGTCGCACTGCTTCCCAACCTCCCCTTTGGATTAGTAGGCCCAGCCATTCTTTACGATCTTGAGCTCCAGACTTCCGAATCTCCTTATGGAAACGCTTTTCGGTTTTATGGTCCCCAGCTGAACGTGCATCTCTTCTCTGCTCGATTAAATCAAGAGTGCGCTGGCTTGTCCACGCTTGCTTCGGCACCGTCTCCCGCATAGGCAATGTTCCAGAGGCTTTTTCGAAACCGCATCGTACCCTACTGTTCATAGCTTCAACAGACTCATTGCCATTGCCAATTGAAACGCCCACGGCCCCAACAAATGCTGATGTAAAACGCTCTCTGGTGTGGGGGTCTTTGAGGCTTGCCTTGTCCGCGTGCTTCTTCTTTGAGGTTTCCTGACGCTTGAACGCCAAATTTGATTCGACAATGGTTAGGTAATGGTGCGAATTGAGAACGTCCAGTCGGCTCGTCCAGGAATCTCGCAAGGTATGCAAAACACTGTGGTGGCATAGAACGTGATCCAATTGAGCAAACTTGCGCCCAGATATCTCGTTGTCCGTCGGATCGACGCCCAGATCTCTATAGGAAATTTTCATGACGTCAGGGTGGTCGTGGTATGTGTTTGCAACCAGCAAGCCACAAGACGTACATAACTCCACTAGGAGGTGCCTGTTTGAAATTGTGTTCTGCACCACGTTATCCGGGGCATCCGCGCACTGAAAAACATGAGGACCAACGATAGCTTCCTCTCCAGCTCCGGCACGTACGAGCCTAGCGTTCAGATCTCCCATGATGTACGTCGTGCTGTTCGCCGTGGTTGCTCGGATATGCGCGTGAAGGTCCATGTAGAAAGTGTGCCGCTCGTCATATGGGCGGCCGTTGTGTGGGGCATACGTGGAAAGCAGTGTAAGCATACCATGTTTAACTTTTACTCGTAGGGAGGCCACTCTGGGAGAGCACGCCTTGAAGGCCACAATACTTTTCAATATTTTTGGCGACGCCACAAACCCAACACCAGAGTGCGACGTGATGTGTATGTCCAGCTCGCCTGACAAGAAAATCGTGTAGCCATTATGCTCGTAGTATTCTGCTCCATGTAAGTGCGTTTCTTGTATACATAAAATGTCTATTTCGCGTATGCGCATGATGTCGATAATTTCGTCGATCTTGACGATGGAATCGCCTCGTAAACCTTCGATGTTCCACGTTCCCATGCGCCCGGGGCAGCAAGGTGAGCAGGCAGACCGAGGTCTACCCCAAGAGAGGCTGGAAGAGGATGATAGTTCATGACACCCTCCGTCACTTTGTCCATGGGGATGGCCGGGAGGAGGAGGTAGAAGACTATGGAGCGAAACGGCGTCGTGGAGTAAGGGAGATGAAACGACCGCTCTCCGCAGTACGACGGTATATTTGCCCAAGTTCGTAACGGCGGTAATGGTATCTTTGCCCACGATGGCGGTATGACTATGTACATGTAGATCTTCTGGGCCGGCCCTGGGGACCGGCCGTGTTTCCTACTTACCCTTGGAGCCTCCCTTTGCTGTGCCTTTCATGCCCTCGGAGGCCCGCTCCAGCAACGAGGCGTTTTTTCGCGATGATATCGGTCAGCATGGGATGTTTTTGAAGTTCTTCCCAAGCTTCCCACTCTGGGCCCCATTTCAGTACCAGGCGCGACTCGTCCACGCCCACGGAAAGGGCAGTAACGCCACCAACGGAGACTATGAAAGGAAACTCGTTGGTTGCAATCTGTATATTGTACTTGTTGTTCAGCTCGTTGTTGAGGATGCGCTTCAAGCCAAAACATACGTTACGAGCCGCGCGGAAGGACGGTGGCTTGTCCTGTGTAACCCAGATTGTTGTCCCTCCGTGGTCAGGGCTCGCACTCCGTAGCAATCCAACTGCCAAGTCTCGATCAGCTTCGCTTGCAAATACCGCGAAGATAATGTCTCGGAAGTCGCCTTTTGAATATATGTCCATAGCTGCAGGCGCCGACAACGAGGAAAGCAGGTCTTTGACCCAAGAAGAGGCTGCTGACATAGAATCGAAACCAACCAACTTTCCAATCACTGCTGTACGGTCCCGCTTTGCCTCCCCTGACATGTTTGATTGTTGTGCTTTGCCTGATACTTTTAGCTCCGAAACCTGACCCTCCAACATCTTGATCTGCTCCCAGATGGCCGCGTCGTCGCTCCGGGGGGTGGCCGTGGCGTCGGAATGCTCGGTGGTCTGGTTCTCAAGGTTGGTGAGGCGGATGGCGAGGTCCTCGATGCTCTCACACGCCAAATGTCTCACACGCCAAAGGGAGAAGGGACAGCCAAATGTCTCACACGCCTTTTCACCCCCGGCAAGCGGGGTCGGCGGATTATGGTACTCATTGCTATCCAGGTGTCCTTTCCAACAGCTTGTACTTTGCCCATGGAGGATTGAATTACCAGGGCAGGGGAGGAGAGTAACAGCCCCCTAGACGTCACTGCCTCTGAAGAGCTTTCGGTGTTTCCGTGTTCGTGCAGCTCCTCAAGGTTTCGGCGAAGCGTTGTTCTCAGATGAGCAGGCCTCGGACAGGGTTCAGGCCCCGAGGCACGACGGAAAGGACAAGCGGGGATGAAAGGAGCACACGAGGACGATGGATCGGGCCCCGACCAGGACGACGACAACGACGCTGGAGACGACAACGGCGACGGTCCACGGCGGCGTCGACGCTGTCCTCCGGCGAAGGCCCGGAGCGCCGCGCGCACCTTCCGGGCTCCGCCCCGCCCTGGCAAGTGGCGCGCCGCCCACCGCGCGCGGCCCGCAGGGCGGGACGTCTGCAGCCCGACGGTGACGAGGACGGCGGCGGCCGCAACGCTTTCGTCGACGACAGTGTCCCCCTCCTCCTCCTCCTTCTCCTTCTCCTTCTCCTTCTCCTCCTCCTCCTCCTCCTCCTCCTCCTCCTCCTCCTCCTCCGCTCGCAGGCGGTTTCTCTCCTTCCATCCCCGAGCTCGGCCCGAAAAGTCTGGCCGCTCAGAGAGGTGTGTGTGTGGGGGGGAACTCTTGGGGTTACGCCTGGCCGATCGGCCGCACCCCTATCGAGGACGGACGACTCAAGCAGTGGCGAAGCGTTTTGGCGTGGCTACAGGCCTACCAAATAATGTTCTAAGAACCTCTTGTGGTTGCCATGCAATGTTTTTAGAACATTTCTGGCTGGGACTGTCTTGTTTTAACACATCGGGCTTGTGTTCTAAGAGCATTGTTTTTGTTTTTTGGAACTTTTTTCGGTTCTAAGAACATGTCGTGGTAGGCCTATAGGAATGCCAGGACGGTCGGTCCCTGCTCAACCATCGTACGTCAAAGGGTTGGGCCGAAAATTTCTGGGCCATTCGAAAGCCTCACGAAGCCTGGGAGAGGGCCTCGACATGTCCACTGTTCTCCGCGGGCCGAGTTTTGGGGGCTCCTTCGCGACCGGCCCGTGTTCACGCCTGGCTTGCCCAGGTTTGTGCCGATCTAGGCCTCCTAGATGGGGTCCGAGTAGATGGGGTCGAAGGATCGCTCCGCATTGCCGATGCATCGCCGATGCGGCTCGATGCGGAGCCCGATTTGCTTCACGCCGACGCCGCCGATGCACCGCCGATGTATCGCTGGCGCATTGCCGATGCACCGCCGATGCTTCGCCGATGTATCGGTGATGCGGCGCGATCCTCCGACCCCATCTACTCAGACCCCATCGAGGCAGCTTCTAGTTGACCCGGGGGAGCGCGTCCCCGACGAGAAGCACGTGTTGGAGAAAGCAAGTTCTCCCTTCCTCTTGCCGGTCCACCTCCTCCTCATCCTGCCTCCTCCTCGTCCTACTCTTCGTCCTCCTGCTCCTCCCCCCTGTCCTCCTCCTCCTCCTCCTCCTCCTCCTCCTCTCTCCTCCCCGTCCTCCATTCCTTTTCCTTACAGATAACTCCTCCCTGTCGCAACCTGACTCCTGTTGAAAGGGCTGGCCAGGCGTGTCGCTGAGACTGCCTCACAGCTTCTGACCCTGATGATAAAACATGACAAGAGCTTCACACATGGAGGGCGCGTCGCTTCCAAAATGTTGCTCTCGCTTTCGCGCCGCGTTGCATGGGCGTCACGGATTGAGGGAGGTCGGTTCTCACAGTGTGGCTTTTGCTCAAGCGCCGTGCACGTTCATTTGTAAAACTTGCAAGAGTTTCACGGATTGAGGGCGGCTGAGCTTCAACATGTGGTTCTCGTTTTAGTGCCGCTTACACGTGTTTCTAAACATTTGCAAGACGGTCACGGATTGAGGGCGGCCCGTTTTCAAATTGTGTTTTTGTCTTGAGGGGTGTGTAGATGTGTTGTAAAATATTGCAACCGACTTCCCGCACAGCTTGATGCAAGTGGCGCTGCAACGCAGCCTTCGACACCCGCTGCTCGAGGAGGAGACGTTTTGCCCCGCGTGCGGGGGGGTGATGGACGTGTTTGCAGACCACGCGCTCACCTGCAGTTGCCGCGGCGACCGCACGAAGCGCCACAACTGCCTCCGGGACCAGGCCTGGCACGAGGCGCTGGCCGCCAGCTACGCCGGAGCGGAACTCGAGCGCCCGGGCTTGCTGCCGCCGCGCGCGCCCGGCGAGGGCCCCCCGGCCGGGGAGGCCGGCGGCGACGACTTGGACGGCGACGGGAGGCGCCCCGCGGACGTCTTCGTTCCGCGGTGGCGAGGCGGCACGCCGGCCGCGTGGGACTTCGCCGTGACCTCGGGCCTCCGCGCGGACTTGCTCGCGACTTCGGCCGCGGAGGGCGGCGGCGACGCGGCGGCGACCCGCTACGAGGAGCAGAAGCGCCTGCACCTGGACACAGCGCGCAGATGCTCAGAGGCCGGCCTGACGTTCATACCGATGGTATGCGAGGCCCACGGCGGCGGCTGGGGCCGCGAGGCGCGACGCGCCTTCGCGGTGCTCGCCAAACGCGCGGCCGACGCTACCGGAGACGACGCCGCGCTCGCGGCCGACCAGCTTGCCCAGCGACTTTCTATTTCCCTGCACAGGGAAAACGCGCGGGCAGTGTTGCGACGCCTCCAGCCGCGAGCGGGGGCGACGGCCGCGCGCTTGGCCGCGGCCACGGCAGCCGCCACGGCGGATGCCGTGTGAGCTACCGCCGCAGTGACCCGCCGGGCAGCCCCACTCCGCCCCCGTCCCCGCCCCCGCCCCCGCCGACCCCGCCCGCCCCGCTGGACGCCCACGGGGCCCTGATGCGACGGCCGTCACACCCCCTGACCCACGTCGACCCCGACGACCCCGACGACCCCGCATGCCCACGACCCTCGACGACCCCCCGACCGCCGCCGACGCCCCTTGCCCCCTCCCGCCCCCTGTCCGCCCCCAACGCGACGACCCTCGCCCCCCCCTGCCCCCCGCCCGCCCCCCGTCGTGCGTGCTTGCTTGCTGCTCCTTTGCCGCCTCCCCTCCCCCCTCTCTTCCTGCATGGTTATGTATGTTCGCCGCGTTTTTCCTCCCCCTCCTCCTCCTCCCCCTCCTCCTCCTCCTCGCCGGACAGCACGGCCTGCCCGGAAGCAGCGCGGCGGCGCGCAGGTCTGCAAAGCAGGCAGGTCGCAGGCAGCGTCATAGACAGCGGCTCTTTGAAGGCTCCAGGAGGCTGCGGAGGCGGAGGGCCCCCACCAGCGGAGAAGCCGGCACCAGACCCCTGGAGGAGGAGCTCGCTTTGTTTTCTGAGCGTGCCTGCTTGCGTGGACGGTTGTTGACGCTGCAGTGGAGTGATGTAGCCTACTTGCGCTGCTGCCGCCTCTGGCCGGCGCAAGCCTGGCTCTGCCGCCTTTCCTGACCATTGTTTGAGTATTTCCCATGTTTCGGGATCATTTAGCAGTTAAGTTGGTCCGCCTTCCTACTTCATGTATTTACCTACCTCTTCCGACCGACAAATATTGCAACAATTCCGTTGATTGAGGATTAGTTTGTTTTCATCTGGTTCTCACTTTATCGCCGCGGACATTATCTTTGAAACTCTGCACGGGATTTACGGATTCAGGGCGGCTGGCTTTCAAAATGTGGTCCGCGCCTTCGCGGCGCGTGAATTCGTTTTAAGCATTAGCAGGAGTTTCACGGATTGAGGGCGGCTCGTTTTCAATGTGTGATGTGTGTTCGAGTGATGTGTACATGTGTTTTGTAGAACATTGCAAAGAGCTTCGTTGAGTGAGGGCAGTCCGTTTTGCACATGTGGTTCTCGCCTTAGCGTTGCGCGCGTTTTGCTTGAAATTGTGCAAGAGCTTCACGGATTGAGGGCGGGTTGTTTTCACAATGGGGTTCTCGTCTCAGCGCCGTGCGCATTCGTTCTGTACATTCGCAAGAGTTTCACGGCTCGAGTGCGGGCCGTGCCCAAAATGCGGTTGTCGTTGTAGCGCTGATCACACTCGTTTTAGACAGCGATTAGGGTTCCATTGATTCCCATGCGTAACGTACCACGAATGGCGTGTGGTAGCGATTCGGGATTGTCCGGGCGCAACAGTTCCGTTGATCCAGGGTGTCGAAGTACCAGGAATCGAGTTCTGGCGCGGCAGTCGGCTTGATTCGTGGCGTTAAGCACCGAGACGCATCAGGCAGCTTGACTCGTGGCGTAGAAGTCCTGAGAGTTGTGTTTTGGCACGCTTCAAGATGCTCACAGGCTTGCCCCCCAACGGGGCAAATCCTCCAGTGGAAATGACCCCTTGTAGGGGCATCTGAAGAGGGCCCTTGGAGGGAGGCTTTATTTCAGCATCGTTGATGGGTCTTGGGTTTGCACTTGCCCTCCTCCTCCTGCTCCTCCTCCCCGTCCTCCTCCTCCCCTCGATTTCCTCGATCTGGGAGTCTTGGGGCGAGCGAAGAGGAGGGAGACGTGAACAGGACGGGGGATGAGGGGGGAGTGAGGGAGGGAGAGGGGACGGAGGAGGACTGGAGGACGGAGAGGGAGGATGAGGCGGATGGAGGATGGGGAAGAGGGAGGAGGAGGAGGAGAAGGAGGAGGACGCGGAGGAAAGGAGCACGAGGAGGGGGCGGATGCGAAAGGGAGGGAGGAGGGGCATGCTACTTACCACGGCCAGAGCACAACGATGCCTCGACGAGCCCTGTCCTCAGAGCCCAAACCCTCCGACCCTGCTCTTGACGGTGGAGCTATACAGCCCCTCTTCCCCCTTCCCCCCCTCCTTCCCCCTTCCCCCCCTCCTTCCCCCTTCCCCCCCTTCCTCCTTCTCCCCTCCTTTGGCAGTTCCGAACCCGACATCATGAGGGTGCAGTCCCGGCTTTTCTGGCTAATGCTTCGTGGGGGGAAGGGCCTGTGTTCAGGGGAGGATGCAGCACCGCTCAATGATGTGCGGCCGACCAAACCTGCACTTCGGCTGTGGCTTCGGCTTCAGCTGCGGGTGCACCTTCAAGCGCCTTCGGGCCAGCGCACCCGGGTCGGTTTTCCGCTCGCACGGGCGCCTCCCTCCCCCCTCCCCCGCCCTCCTCTCCAACCCCCCCCCCCTCCCCCTCCCGCTTCCTCGCTCCACCCGTCACCCCTCCTCCTCCTCCGGCCCCTCCCCCCCTCCTCCTCTCGCATGGGTGACCCCCTCCCTCCTCCCTCCTCCAGCCGCTCCCCCCCTTTTGTCCCCTCCCCTCGCCCACTGCGGCCGGTGGAGGCCCAGGCCCCCCCCCCCCTCCGCGGCGGAAGGGCGACCCCCGCCCGGCAGGCGCAGCGCCTCCGCGCGGAGCGCAGCCGCCTGGCGCGCCGCCCTCCCGCCGCCAGCCAGTCCGCCACAAGTCGTCGTCCCCGTCGTCGCCGCCGATCTCGTCGTCGTCGTCGTCGCCGCCGTCGTCGCCGCAGTCGTCGTGGTTGTCGTCGTCGCCGCCGCCGTCACCGTCGTCTTCGTCGTCGCCGTCGACGCCGCCGTTGTCGTCTTCGCCGTCGTCGTCGCAGTCGACGCCGCCGTCGTCGTCGTTTCTGTCGTCGTCGACGTCGACGTCGATGTCGTCTTTGTCGTCGTCGTCGTCGTGGTCGTCGTCGTCGTCGGGCCATCGAACCGCCGTCGTCGTCGACGTTGTGTGTCGACGACGTCGACGTCGTCGTCCTCCTCGCTCGGGAGAGGCAGGGAGAGTCGTGGGAGCGCGAGGACGGAAGGAAGAGGAGGGGGACGAGGACTGCGGAGGGCCTGTCCCTCTACATGAGAAGTATCCATATAATAGTGAATCAATAGTCTGGGGACTATTTTTTGATCAGTTTTGGATTCATGTTGGATCAGTTGTTTTTTTCGTCCAACATCCGCCTGCAGGGGGACATGCCCGACCTAAGACAAGTTGGAGGGTGGAAGGAATAGTACAACTAATAAGAACAATAAGAGAACCGGGAAGTTCGATGGGTTGCAAGTTTTGTTTGTTGGGCATATTTTGTGGAGGAGGAGGAGGAGGGTGGAGAAGCATGAGGAGGAGGTTGCGCATGAGACTCGAAGCGAAGGAACCTGGGAGGACACTCCACTCAGTGCCCATCGGTACGTTGCGTCAGTTCCTTATGACCTCATAGTCATGCGTTCCATGCGTATATGCAATTAGCTCTAGCTCCAACTGTAGATCTAGGTTATGTCCGTTGGCCTGGTGCTTGCGTCAGTAAAGCACGTTACATCTGCTTGCTGTATGTGTCAGCTCTTTTGCATATGATCTGAACTTGCTATGTGTTTGTGTTTGCCTTGTGTGTGATTGTGTCACGCGTGTGCGTTCTTCATGTCTGATTGTCATGCACCTTGTGTGTGTGTGTTGGGGGGGTATGCGTGTGTGTTGTTCTGTTTGTTGTGAGTCTTTCACTGGGTTTGTCATCCTTTCTGCAGTCATGTGTGCAAGACGCGAGACGGGACTCTGGCGATGTGTTGGTGTATTGGGGCCTGGCAGCCGCTGTACGCGGGACCGGTTACGCCGTCACTCGTGTGGGACTGGTTCTGTCGTTTTCTGTTGCCAGGACACGAGGCGGTCTATTCAAGATGCTTACCCCGTTTCGCCGAACCCCAGAAGAGTCTTGGGGCCCGTTTGGGGCCTCGTTTGGACCTCTTGGGGACGTCTTGGGGCTTATTGGGGGCCTCGTTTGGGCCGCTTGAGGAGGATGTCCATTTCGTTTTCTCCCTCCTTGCCTCTCTGGGGGCCCTCTGGGGGCGATCTTTGACCGTCTTGGGCCCAACTTTGGACCGTTTGGAAACACTCTTGGGCCGTCCTTGGGTCCTCGTAGGGGTCTCTGGGGCAGTCAGGGGGCGGTCTTGGAACGTCGGAAGCTCGAGAAGACGATCACCTCACAAAAAATGACAAACCTTAGGAACACCATAGAGTTTTTCCTTTCGGGGCCCTCTTGGGAAGGCCTCTAGGGCGTCTCGAAGGCCTCTTGGGGCCGCCTGGGGTCCTGTTGGGGCGGATGGCTCGGATTTTCGGTTCGTGTTCCCTCTTTGGGGTCCCTTTCGGGGCCGTCTTGGGACCCTCTGAGGCTGTCGTTGGTGCCTCTTGGGCCGTCTTGGGGTGCTCTCAGGCCGTCTTGGAGCCCTCTTGGAGGCTTCTTGGGCTGTCTTGGGGGGCCTTTTTGAAGGCCTTTTGGCTCGTCTTGGAGCGTCGGAAGAAACAGCAAATGCGAGAACACCAACATCTGTCAAAAACCTAACGTGAATCATTGATGTTTGCCTATCGGGGCCCTCTTGAGAAAGCTCTTAGGGCGTCCGAAGGCATCTTGGAGCGTCTTGGAGCAATCATATGCGTCTTGGGCCAATCATTCAGCGATTCGGGACCGTCCTGGAACGTCTTTGGAGCCGTCTTGGGGCCCTCTTGTGCCGTCTAGGGTGCCTCGGACCGTGTTGGGTCGCTCTTAGGCCGTCTTGGAGCCTTCTTGGAGGCCTCTTGGGCTGTTTGGGGGGCCCCTTGGGAGCCTCTTGGGCCGTCTTGGAGCATCGGAAAACAGGGAAGGCGAGAACGCTAGCATCTTGCAGCAACTTAAGGGGAACCACTGATCTTTGCCTATCGGGGCCCCCTTGAGAAAGCTCTCGGGGCGTCTCGAAGGCGTCTTGGGGCGTCTTGGAGCCATCGTGAGCGTCTTGGGCCAATCGCTTCGCGATTCGGGGCCGTCTTGGAACGTCTTCGAGGCCACGGCAGGCAGATACGGAAGTTTTGCCGTCTCCGAGGGAGGGGGGGCAAAGTGGGAGGTCGGGCGCGGCTCGGACGAGGGTAAATCCGTTCCAGAGCGTTCCGGAGAGCGCTCTCAGAGCGCTCCAGACCGCTCTGAGGAGGCCGCGGCGCCCGAGACATCCTCCAGAGCCGCCAGATCTCAGAGAGGATCGACGTATCCTCGCCCTACTTTGTCCTCGTCCTGGCGTTGTCCTGGGAGGGGGGCAGCCAAGCATCTCGCGCGCCTGCTCACCCCCCGGTGGGCGGGGTCGGCGGACGAAGGAGCCTCGGGGTGTTTGGGCACGGAGGCCGCTCACCCTCACCCTTCTCCTCCTCGGAGCATCGGAGGCATCGTCGACGACCCCGGCATGCGTAGACGAACGAGACTAGAGAGATTCCGCCACGAACATATAGATTTATTTATATGTGCATATATATATATATGTATATATATATATATATGTACCCGCAGTTGCGGATAAGAGTGAGGGGGCGGACGCGGGCGACGCGGGCGTCGAGCCGGCGGACCTCGTGGCCCTCACTTTCCCTGTCGATGGCGCCTTCCTCCTCCTCCTCCTGCTCCTCCTCCTCCTCGCCGCCGCGCTTGTGCGGCACTGGCGTGCTGTGTGGTAGGGTTCGTGGACGCTCCCCTCAGGAGGGTCCTTGAACGCCCCGAGGCCCCTTCATTTATATAGAAATATATAATATATATATATATATATATATATATATATATATATCACACACGCAGACGCCCTTCGACCGACTAACTTTGCATGTATCTTCAGCGGGGGGGGGGTGACGGCTTATCTTTCAATGGTGATTAATACACCGGTTTCCCCCTTGAGGCCCAAGCGCGATCCATTGGAGGGTGTCCGTGTATTTTTGCTGCAGCGGAGAATCGGCACACGGTTGTACCCTACGAGCTACATCATCCCCTTTCCGAGCGTGCGTTCTGCGGTGCAGTCTCGTCGTGCAAGCGTTTCCCGCACTCACGTGCCAAATTTGGTATCCCTTCATCACTATAAACTAATGCCATCGTCTGCACGTAGGAGCACGTTTAAACGATGATTGTTGGCTCCAACTTGGCATGCCTAACGCGCACGCCTGGCGATGGCAACGCTCCCAGGTGTATGGATCAATTGTGAGAAGAATGCAGTTCTAGGTCAGCAGCCATGCTACATTCACGACGCTTTGGAAAACCTCGTCGTCGGAAGTTTCCTAACACGATGACAGTGTAGAGTCGAAGGGGGGTGAGGGAGACCCTGTACAGCCATCAACCACGATACGCTAAACGGATAACTACCAGACGCACTCCCACTTCGATGTTGAGTTGAGGGAGGCCCTGAAACGGGACAGACTGCAGCAGAGAGCGGGGCGCATACGGCCGAACTCCGAAAGCGGCCTCATCCAATCTTCCCTTCTTCTCCCGCGATCTCCACCCTCGGCGGCGCACGTACGAGGCCTCCTCCACCCGAGGCCAAGCCATCTCTGCCCAGGAGCGCCTCCGCCGCAGGCGGCCGAGGCGAGAGCGCCCTCGGGAGCGGCCAAAGAAGGTCATCTGGCCGGAGAAGCACACAGGGAGAGCCAGATCACGACAGTCGGTGTGTGTGTGTGTGTGACAAAACTTTGCCGGAGCGGCGAGGTTCCAATCATATTGATTGGTCTGGCGTCCCCCTTCTCCCCTTTCCCCCTCCTCCTCCTCCTCCTCCTCCTCCTCCTCCTCCTCCTCCTCCTCCTCCTCCTCCTCCTCCTCCTCCTCTCGACCTCCTCTCGACCTCCATCCGTCCCTCGGCCATGGGGCGCTCGCCGCCGAGGTGCCCGGCTGGGGCCTCGCCTCCCGCGATTTGCACGAGGACCGGACGGACGGGGTTCGGGTCTGTTCGGGACTCCAGAGACGGGGGTCAGTGCGAACGGGGGTCAGCCAGAGCGCCGGATCTTGCAGGATCCTGCAGGGCCAGGGTCGCATTGACCCAGGCTTGGGTGCAGGATCTTGCAGGAACTTGCAGGGCCAGGGTCGCATTGCCCCGGGTTTGGGTGCAGGATCTTGGAGGACCTTGCAGGATCCTGCAAGGCTTGAATGACCCGGGTCAGCAGATCCCCGATTCGTCTGCCCGCGCCGTGTCGCTTTGGGGCTCGCTAGGGGAGCAGGAGGGGTTCAGGAGGAGAAGGCGCCGACACCGCTACTCTTCGCTAATGTTCACCTTCTGGTCCTCCTGGGAGGCCTTCGTCGCCGCTGCTGGATTCGCGTCGCAATTCTGGTCAGAACGGGCTCCGCAGAGGTCTCGAGACAAGCGCTATCGGTACCGTTCCGCTCCTCCAGGAGTGGCCTCATGACGAGGAAAGAACAGAGCACGCCGCCCACGGCGACAGACCAAGAGAAGGACACCCGAGCCGGCAGCGAAATCGAAATCGACCGAGGCCGGCAGGCTGCACAGCCTACAATGTGCGCAGCAGCGCAAGAGCGACAGCAGCCGAACGGACCGATCCGAGCCGACCGAAGGCAACCGATGGCGACGAAGGCAGCCCGACTAAACCGTTGACCCCCTTGGAACCCATCTGGGCCTCCTGGATGGGATCGGAGTAGACGGGGTCGGAGGATCACGTCGACATCGCCGATGCATAGCCCATGTCGACGGTGCATCGCCGATGCATCGGCGATTTATCGGCGATGCGGCGCGATCCTCCGACCCCACCTAATCCGACCCCATTTAGGAGGCCTCAAACCCATGAACAAGGGTGACCGCGATTCGGTTGGTTCGGCGCCTTCGGAGTCGGCTACGTTCGATCGGCTCGGGCTGGTCCCTGGGCGCGCCGCTGCGCCCTTTCAAGCTGTGATCGGTGTGTCGATGTTCGATGTCGCTGTCGGTTCGATGGGTTTTCTGTTTTGCTGTCGTCGTGTGCCCCCATGCGGAGGAGGAGGGGGAAGTTGAGAGGGGGGGAGAGAGTCCCTTCTGCTGCGTTTGCCGCCGACGCCAGGGAAACGTGTGCCCGATCAGCCAAGGCAGGGGAAACGAGCGCCCGATGTAGGGGGCAGGCCTATGGCGGAGTCGATACCACACAACTCCCTCCCTGCGTTGGCGGGCGCATGGCAGACCCCCTTCAGAACACGTGACGGCTGGACCGAGAGAGGGGAGGTCGGGGGAGGAGGGAGGATCGAGGAGGGGCCTTTGCTTCTTCCTCTTCCTCTTCCTCCCTCCTCCCCCTCCTCCCCGTCTCCCCTCCTCAGGAGGAGGGAGGAGAAGGACGGACGCAGGGACGGAGATGTTCTGAGATCTCCCCAGGCGTTCGTTGTGATAGTTCCTCATACACCGTCTTTTTCTTCCCCTCCCGTTAACATCCTTCACGCTCTCTCCTCCTTCTCTCCCTCAGTCATCCTGCGCCTCATCTCCCTCCCTTCTGGCCTTACATCTGTAGACGAGCGCAGGATTCCCCCTCATTTCAGTTTCTGGCAACATGTTCGCATCGCCAGTTTAGCGCATCGACAGGAGGGCTCAGGCAGCATCAGTAGCAGCACTATCTCTCCGCAGCCGCTTGCCTCACAGGCCTCGCGAGAGACCGTGCATGTGGCACCGTGCAATTTCGCGCTGGATCCAGGGAAGCAGTCGCTTGCAGTTCCCTCCTCCCGTCCTGTTCCTTCTCCTCCTCCCCCTGGCCTGCGAGCGCCCGAAGCACGAAACTCTGCGTCGGGAATGGGGACCGGGTGTCCGCGGTCCACAAGACGAGGGCTCGAAGGGTGAAGGGGTGAGGGTTCGCCATGGGTGAAAGGGGTGCTCGTGCTGTCCCGTCTCGTGAGCTCGCTTTGCCAGTGCCCGTGGAGCCCAGGCATGAGACCTTCTGGCGCAACAGGCCAGACCCTGGGCTTCTGACTGGCACCATGTTCCTTGATGGTCGGAGGAGAACTTCCACGCGGTTAAGGGTTAAGACGAAGTCCCACTGCACCCGTGCCCAGGTCGATGCAGGAATGACAAGGGAGTGGGAGTTCAGAGGAAGCGCCCACGCCAACCGTTTCTCCAAAGACGAAGTTTCCACGCACAGTTGTGGGACAGAGCAGTTCCAGCTGTGGCAAGGTTTCAAGTTGTTAGTCCACCCGTTGGGCGGCCACAGTTCATGTTGCTTTTTAGGGTCAGCATCGTGAGGACCTCATGGATGCTTGTTGGCAGTCGAGGCGCCCCGACGAGATCCTTGCTGCCGAGGCCCCGCCTGCGGAATAATCTGAGCCTGCGGCAGCTTGAGCCCACGGGACGGAATTGGAGCGCCCGGGGCTGCTGCCCCCGCGCCCCGCCGGGATGGCCACCCTCCGGGGGCGAGCAGGGCGGGTCCCAAGTGGACGACATTGGCCGCCGCTTTGCAGACGTCAACCGTCCACGGCGTCCGCCTGGGAATTTGCCGCCACGTCTGGGTTGCGCGCCGAACTCCTCGCCGCGTCGGCTGCTTCACGGAGCGCGACCGAACGGCACCAGTAGTTCAAAAAGCAACACCACGACACCGCGCGGCCTTGCGCGGCACAGGGCTTCACCTTCCTCCCCATGGCGTTGGAAGCCCACGGCGGCGGGTGGGGCCGCGAGGCACGCAAGGCCTTCGGGGTCCTGGCCAAGCGGGTGGCTGACGCCACGGGGGAAGATTCCGCAGTTGTCGCGGACCAACACGCCCAGTGACTTTCTGTCTCAGAACGCGCGGGCGGTGTTGCGGCACCTCCAGACGCAGTCTGGAGAGGCGGGGGTGGCAGCGGCCCGTTTGGCCGCGGCCACGTCTGCCTACAGGGTGGACGCCGTGTGAGGCATCCTCGTTGATGCCCCCCGCCCCCCCCCGCCCTCGCTGGGCAGCGCGGGCGCCCCCGCGCCCTTCCGCCAGCGTCGCGCTGGCGGCTCTTCACCCCCACCCCCACCCCACGCACGCCGCCCGGCCCTTCGGCGGGGCGGGGTGTGATCCCGCAGAGGGCTCTCCCCACCAAGCGGCGGAGTTCTGGGTTCGGTCGGCCGTCCCCCGACGACCCCGACAGCCTGCCCCGACGACTGCGAACGAACCCCCCGCCCCGACGCCCGCCGCCCACTCCACCGCGGCATCGCCGCCGTAAGGGGCCGCAGCCTCGTCATTGGTGGCTCTTCTCTCCCAGCCCCTGGCCCGGTTTGTCTGCTCGCGGTTGGTATCTTTCTTATGTTGTTTCCTTTTTTCTTGTTCCCTACTTGGGTTTTTTGTTGTATATATATATATATATATGTATAAACGTATGCATATAATCCGGTGCGGTGACGGCCGTCACGGGGGGGGAGGGGACCGGCCTTGTCGCGTTGCGCGCCGGTGGCGTCCCCGAAAGCCTACGGACAACCGACGACGGGTAAGACCGGCATGTGGGTGGCGTTTTGCACCACAGCGCCTGTGTGAACCACAATGCTTGCGTGCAACACAGCGCTTGTGTGCACCACAGCGCCCACGTACACCACTGCAGACGCTTGCAACACAGCGTCAGTGTGCACCACAGTGCCTGCGTGCACCACAGCGCTTATGTGCACCACAGCGCTTGCGCACACCAAAGCAACCGTGTGCAACGCAGCACCAGTGTACACCACAGTGCCTGCGTGCACCACAGCGCCTGTGTACACCGTGGCGCCCGCGTGCACCACAGCAGCCGCGCGCAACAGAAAACCACTGCTACGGATATAGAATGTTCGAAGGGGTCCGTCTGACAAAATGGAGCGCCTGTGGATTCCACAGGAAATAGTTATCTGATCCAGGATCTGGACAGGAATCTGCACGGGAAAGAAAGCCTGTGGAACCTACGAGTCCTCCCAGGGAGGAGGAGGACGACGACGAGAACGAGGTGGACGAGGACGAGGAGGAAGAGGGTGCGGAAGAAGAAGAGGAAGAACATGAGGAGAAAAAAGAGAAATAGTAGATGCCGTGACTTTGGGATCGGGGCGCGCATACAGACAGGGGCGGCTTCGTCCTGAAGGAGTTCGCTGGGAACGTGGGGCACGGTGGAGGCATTGCATTGGGAGGCGCTGTGGCATGGGGGCCCTGTGGCATGGTACCGAGGCGCTCCATGGCACGAAAGCTTACCTTTTCTTGCCCATTCCCATTCTCCGATGCACGATGAGATGCGCACGTGCGCTGTAGCGCCGACCCGCACGACGGGGAGAGGGGTGAAGGAGGGGAAGGAGGAGGAGGAGGAAAAGGAGGAAAAGGAGGAGGGGGAGGAGGAGGAGGAGGGGGAGGGAAGAACATCGCATCACATTATCAACGATACCCTGACGTGTTGTTTAGCTGTCCGCAGCAGGTCCTCACCGACGTGCGCCTTGTACCTGTCCTGTTCACGCAGGCGCTGTGATGCGCACTAGCGTTGTGTTGCACGTGGTTGCTGTGATGTGCGCCGGCGCGTTGGCGTACACGGGCGCTGTTGTACATGCAGGCGCTGTGTTGCATATTGGCGTTGTGTTGCAGACTGCTGGTGCGGTGTACGCAGTCGTTGTGGCGTACACAGGCGCTGTGGTGCACGCGAGCACTTTGGTCACACAGCGTTGCACACGGGCGCTGCAGGGTACACAGGCGTTGTGGTGCACACGCGCGCTGCGTTACACGCGGGTGTTGTGGTGTACGCGAACGTTGTGGTGCAGATCGCCACTTGCAGGCTGTTCCTTTTTATCTTCGGCCATCCTTAGGCATTCCCGGACGCCGCCGGCGCGAAACGCGACGTCATCTGGGGGTGGGCAGGGGGCGGGTTTGGTGACGGTCGCTATCGCGGAAAATGGGGGGGTGGAGAAATACAGGCTCCTGGTGTCTCCGCCTGGCTACACTTCCGCGTGCCCGCCCGCCTTGCTTTCGCAGGAGCATGCGCAATCCAGTTTCTATGGGGGGATGCCACAGTCTCCTCCAGGTTGAGGTGTTCGAGCAGGCCCCGCTTGTGTCGTCAGCTCTGTTTTGTTGCAGCTGCGGCGCCACTTGCGTCCGATGGCCGATTTGAACAGCTGACCATTCGAAGGCAGGTGGGTCCGACAAGCTGAGGTGGATCTCACAAAAGAGTGCCACTTCTACCGCGCGAAAGATATGAACCTCGACCGCCCGCCCAGCTTGCTCTAGCGGTGCGGGCTTCGCTAGACGAGCAAGCCGCCGCGTGCCTAGCCCTTGTCATCCCGCCGCCGCAGGCCATTGTGCAGCAGGCAAGTGGCGGTTGGGCGGTTACACGTTGGGGCGCTGCCAGGGGGGGAGCGGGGAGTACTGTTCCTATCAAGCTATGTGCGTTCGTGCTCCATGTGACGCCTTCTTCTTGCAACGAATCCGTTCTCGTTGCCATGGCTACTGTTCTACCCGCCGATTGGGGTATTCGACGACGCCGTGATCCCCGAATGGCGTTTCTAGGATTTGCCCATCGTTTGCTTCACACTGGGAATCGAAGCTTCTGTGCGTTGCAGAGGGGGGGAGGGGGGGAGGAAGAGAAGGATGCTGGAGGCGCAGGAGGAGGAGGAGGAGGACAGATAGGAGCATGAAGTGCATTGGGGGCATGATGAAGAGAGGAGGCCGACGAGGAAGCAGGAAGAGGACAGATGGAATAATCGGTTTCAGAAATGCGGTACGCGCTTGGGCAAGAACTCGGCCGCTATTTCGAACGACGCGGGGCGACGCACCGATTTTGAAATTGAGACGTGCCTAGTGCTGCTGCGACAGCACATGTTTGACGTTTTGAATGCGTTATGCGTGTTGTAGCCTTCTTCTTTATGGGCTGAAAACGTACCGAAGACACTCTGGTACAACATGCTGATGTTTCACCTCTTTTGCGTGAGCCAGCAAGGGCGGATGGAGTGAGTGAAAGGCTTGGCGTTGCGAGGGGAAATAGAGTTTCATTCAGGTTACAAGTTGTTGAGTCATTGTGGATGGAGGCGGCTTAGCAGGGGAGGGGGAGATGGGGGGCATGAAGCGTGCGGTGGGGGAGGGGAGGAGGGGGAGCAGGAGCGAGAGAGGGGGTAGAGAAGAGGGGTGGGCTCTTTCTCTCTCTCTCTCTCTCGTCGGTGCTTCGGTGCTGTTCAGGACGCCGTGTTCCGCGTCTTCCTAGACGGGCGCCTGTCCTGGCCGAGGCCTGGCGATTCCGCGTACTCGCAAGAGCATGTGCAGGAGAAGGAAGAGGAGGAGGAGGAGGAAGAGGAGGAGGAGCAGCGGCAGCAGCAGCTGCAGCAGCAGCAGCAGTAGGAGGCAGCCGGTCAGCATGACCATGGGGAGGGATATTGGTGAGGATGCGGAGGAAGAGCAGCAGCAGTTGGGCGAGGAGGCAACGCGGGAGGTGAAGGTGCAAGAGGAAGAGCAGCATCTGGAGGGAACCACACAGGATGAGGGGTAGGAGGAAAGAGGCAAGGGGAGAAGCCGAATAAGGATAAGAGGGTGAAGCGGCGGCGGAAGAGCAGCGTCGGGAACGACAGCAGCAGGAGGACAAATCCGCTTGAGGCATTCTGGAACAGTCGCAGAACCTCTCGGAGTTCCTGGCGGCTTGCTGAGTGTCTTGCAGCCTCTTGTGGCCTCTTTCCCTCTTCTACGGATACCTTCAGATCCTTCCAGATCAGCACATGTGCCTATCTCCCTCGATTATCCTCGGTGATCGATGGCTGATAATCGAGGTTACGTGGCTTTTTTGTCGGCATTTAGACATCTTGAGACTCTAGGAAATCTGCGGGGGGTGAAGGAGGCAAATGTTCCTCCCAGTCCTGCTCTCCTGCTGCCTGCGCGTGTCCCAGGCCCCCTTCGCGTCTCGCTGCCCCGCTCTTTTCTAGATCGTCAAGCCGTGCAAGATCCCACTGACCTCCCACTGGCCAGGTAGGAAGACGCCCAGGAGAAGGGGGAGGACAACGGGGTGGAGAAGGAGGGGCAGTAGTCGCCAATTCCTGGAAGGAGCTCTCAGATGAAACGTGCTCGGAGTGGCGAGGCTTGCAGGCTTCGGCTTTCGCCAAAACACACATGGAAGAAACTTCATGTCCTGAAGAGACCACTCTCCTCGGATGCAACTCCTGGGAGGTCAAACTCTGTTTTCGCCCTGGTCCGAAATCCCGCTGAATCCCGCTTAATCCGGCTTAATCCTGCTTAATCCCGCTTAATCCGGCTTAATCCCGCTTGATCCGAGGCCCACTCTGGCGTAACAGCCCCCCAATGGGGCTTAATCCTCCTTAATCCTTCCGACGAAAACCTCCCAGTAGTTGCCTCCTAAACTCTCCCACCGAAATCGACGTGCACGTGCTACCAGCATCATTTCATGCTGCCCGCGAGGTGCCTGACACTGTGAGGCTTTTGGCCCCCGCGTGGGCGTGCCCCTGGCGTCCCTCTGGGCGCAGACGAGGGCCCAAGGTGGGGCCTCGTGTCCGCGGCTCCTCCGCGGCAGAAGTGCCCATGCTGCAACCCTCTGGCGGGGGGCCCGCTCCGCCGCTCTCGGCCGCACGCGAGGGATACAGTGGAGGAGGATCGGAGATCGAAGAAGAGGATCGAGGGGAGGATCGAGAAGGAGGAGGAGGAGCAGGAGGAGGAGGATCGAGGAGGAGGATCGAGGAGGGGAACGAGGAGGAGGAGGCTGCCCCGCCGCACCGGAGAGGAGGGCCCCCCTCCGCCGTGCCGGCAGGGTGCGCGAGCTCTTGCTGGAGCGCTCGCGCGGCGCCGAGCAGGCTCCAGCCGGCGGCGCAGGGGCGGCGTGAGCCCACCTGGCGGCCGGCGGCGATCTTCGGGGGAGGGGGATCTCGGGTCGGACGATGCCCCCTTTCTGAAACAGTGGCGAAGCGTCCTGGCGTGCCCACAGGCCCACCAGACAGCGTTCCAAGAACCCTTCGCGGCTTCTACGAAATATTCCTGGAGCAGTTCTGGCTGGGATTGTCTTGTTCCTGTGCATCGGGATGATGTTCTAAGAACATTGTTTGGTTCTCAGAACAGTCTGGGTTCGAAGAACATCTCGTGGTAGGCCTACAGGAATGCCAGGATGGTCGGTCCCTGCTCAACCTTCGTTATCCTCCTTCTTCTCTCCTCCTGCTCCCGTGTGCCCCTCCCGTTGATGGCCATCCCTCCCCCTTCCCCCTGAGTCGCCTCTTTATCCCCCGGGTTTGACGAGGGGGGGGATTGGGACAGGGGATGTTGCGAAACTTGCCGCGCGCAGCTGGTGTCAGCTGCCGCCAGGCCTCATACATGGCCGCGTTCGGAACCGGGAGGCGGGGGGAACGCCAGTTGCATGAAGTCGATTCGATCACTTGGGTCACCCCAAGGGGCTCGAAGAAGCTTTCGCTGGCCGCGCCCCGCTCGCAAAGTGTCGACATGGCCTTCCAAGGCCCTTGCATCCTTTCCGCGCATCCTTCTTTGTCGGGCCTGCTGGAATTAAGCGCGTCGCGGCCAGGGCCGCGCCTGGGCGCGAAGGTAACCGCGCGGCCCGCCCCTCGCCTCCCCCGGTGCGCAGCGCGCGGTGGTCCCCCTTTGGTGTCCCCTCCGTTCGTCCGCCTTGAGGATCGCCCGCCAGGAAGCAGGCGGGTCATGAGGGGAACGGTTCCTGGAGGTATTCCACCGATTTCAACCCCCTCGGGCCTCCTCGGGGCTCAGGAGACGGGGGTCGATGCAAACGGGGGTTCAGTCAGAGCGCCGGATCCAGCAGGATCCTGCAGAGCCTGGGGTGCATTGACCCAGGCTCGAGCGCAGGATCCTGCGGGATCTTGCAGGCTCGTGCAGAGCCTGGCTGGCCCGAGTCTGGATTAGCCCAGGTCAGTAGATCCCCGACGTCCCTGAGCCCCAGGACCGTCATCAAAACGATGCAGGATTCAGAGCTGCTCCCAGGGACGAGCCCTGGGGTGCAGGACCCGTCTCCCCCAGGGCCCGTTGTCTCTTTCACGGCGAGTGCTGAGGGGCTGGAAGAGGGTAGGGCGAGGGGGGGCTTTCTATGAAGACCAGGGGCCTTAGAAGCCCCCCTGCCCTCCGAGAAGGCTTCCTGATTAAAGGCCTCCAAGCCCTCCTGAGAAGCCCCTTCGGCTTCTCGGGAGACCGCGCCTCGACCTCCGTCTGCGCGCCGCCAAGAAGGCTCGAGGGTTTCGACGAGGGGGAGGGGGATCGGGGATCGAGGTTCGACGCTCTTTTGCTTGGCTGATCTCGGCGGCGCCCTCAAAAGTCGCGGCTGGATCGCCTCGAAGTTACAGTCAGAACACGCCTCAGGACAGATCGGGGGCTCTTCTTATTGAGCGGGGGCCTTGCTCGGGGCCGTAAAAACACGACTCGCGACGAAGCATTGCCCCCAGGAAGAAGCCCCGCCCTGGAATTCAGGACCCGTTTCTCTCAGGAGCCCCTTTACGGTCGGATTGATGAGGTATTGTTGGATGGTCTCGTGCATCTTGGGAGAGAGCACCCTCAAATGCTTTTCAGTTTGGGCCAGCGGATGGTCTCATGTTCTTGAGGGATGTTCTTGCAGGAGGAGGGGTAGATGAGGACGAAAACAAGGCGATTCGTACGTTTGCTGGTCCCTCGGGGGCCCCTGTTGCCGCTTCCTGGATCCGCCTGGCAAATCCTGGTCAGGGCGCGCCACGCAGTGTTCCAGAACGGAGACGGAGGATGATAAAGAAGAGGTGGATGATCATCGCTAGTGACGCCCCCCCTCCCTCCCACTTTTCGACCCTGACCGTCCTCCTCTTCCTCGTCCTTCTCCACCCTCCGCTTCGCGGCAGGAGGCTCGTCGTCCTCCTCCGTTTCGGGGAGGGGGAGGAGGAAGGACAGGGGGAAGAAGGACGAGGCGTCTGAGCGGTTTCAAGGCATGGGGCGAGGAGGAGGAGGAGGAGGAGGAAGGAGTGGAGGAGGAGGAGGAGGAGGAGGAGGAGGAGGAGGAGGAGGCGGAGGGATGGGGGGAGGAGCAGAATATTGAAGAGGGAGGGTGACGAGGAGGAAGAGCAGAACCCACAGGCGGAACACAGGGGGAGGATAATTAGCGATGTTGCATGATGAGGGAGTCTGGGGAAATTGAAGGATGGGGTGGAAGGGGAAGGCGGATGAGGACGGACATCAGAAGGAAGAGGGACGGGGAAGATGGGGAGGTTGGGCATGAGGAAGAGACGACAGATGCAAAGGATAATAAGGAGTTGAATGATCAGCGAGACGAGGATGGTGATTATGATGATGCACAAGAAGATGACGACTAGGGTGAGGATGACGGTAGATGTTGGCTTGTATCTATGATCACTTGCGCAATATTGGCGACGAGGATGACGAGGAACTATTCCCACATATTCCATCATAGATGTCCTGTCCGAGTGGCACATAGCGCCTGCACGAGTGGCTCTGCATGGCCCTATTTCTCGCGCATGGTCTTCGGTCTTCCCTGCTGTGCCTGTTGGCCGCCACTTCGCAGGGCGGAGTTGCCCCCCTCCTCGCCACGGCCGTCCACGCAGCGCACCGGACACAAGAGCCGCACCTAGGACGAGGCAGCCGCAGCGCAGCACGTCTGGTGCGTTCGCGCCAGCCGATGGGGGGTGGGCGGCGGCGCGCGGCCCTCGCCCGTCTCGCTTCGCAGTCGCAGTCTGCTGCCTCGAGCGGTGCTCCTCGGCCCGGGCCTCGAGAGGCTCGGCAGCAGCGCTCCGAGAGGAGGCGAGGCGCCGCGCCGTCCGCGAGGACCTGGCGCCGCGCCCGGAGATCCGCCTCCAAAGCCAGGGCCTCGGCGACCCACGCGGGCGCGGAGGCATCCGCGCGGCGGCGGCAGCGGCGGCAGCGGCGACGGCGACGGCGCGACGACGCAATGGTCGGTCGTGCGCTGTGGGCCTCGCGAGGCGTGGTGACACGCGAGCAGAGCACTGCGTGAGGGGGCCATAGCGGGCGCTCCGACAGGAGCTCGCGAAGCCCCCTCCCCAAAGCGGCTCTCGCCGAGGCGTGGTCGCCCTTTTTGCACCTGGTGCTCGGTGCATAGTGCTCGAAGCATTTCCCACAGATGCTGTGAGGAGTCGCCGCTGGCTGATGTGGTGTGGCCGTGGAGGTTAAGCAAAAAAACAGAGCGCTGCGTGCGCTCCGCGGGTCGGCTCGGGTCGTCCAGGGCACCGGCGAGCGCGAGGGCTGCGAGCACCGCGGGCTGGCTCTCGGCCTCGGGTCCAGCGGATCGCAGGGCCTCGGCCTCGTTCTGGCCTCAGACATCTTGAGCGTCGGCCGGACGACGAGCCCGTCAGAAGCGAGGCGTTCTGCTGCATCGCGGCTTGCGGCGCGCCCTAATGATTTCGTTAGGCCTTGTGCCTTCAAGCTCTTGACTCGACGATGAGCACGATGACGACGACGATGATTGTGACGATTATCGTGAGAGGATAGGCAGGGGAGGGAGGGGGATTGCTGAGGGAGTCTTTAGAAGGAGGACGAGGATGACAAAGAGGACGAAAGGTAAGGGGAGCGGGATGGGAGGGGGAGGAGGGGAGCGAGGAAGGGATGGAGGTTATCCCCAACGATTATGCTGACCGTCCTTTCTGCAGGCTCGCGCGGGCGCGGCTCGTGCGAGAGTTTTCGCCCGTTCATGGGGGCACAACGCAGTCATCCTTCCTTTCACCCACATCCTGCACAGCCTGGTAGCAACTCCTGGGAGGTTTAATTCAGCATCGGCTCTGGCATACCCGCGGACGAAAACAGTACATGTCCTACCTAATCCCGCCCAGTGCCGCTTAATCCCGCCTGATCGGGCTGAATGGTTGGTTTGGCATGGCTTAGTGGCACCTCGCGTGGGCTTGGTAGTCCTTCATCGTTCCCACGGAAAACTCGAAGGAGTTGCATCATCTGACCAGCTGTCATTTCATCCGCAGACCAGCAGACTTGTTTCTCTATCCGCGTCCACTCCCCCTCTTGGCATCTATGCTCCAGGCGTTTCCTTCCGCGTTCGTTGCTATCTCGCTGCTGCATAGCGTTTCATCTCCATTTGTATACACATCCACATGCATATATGAGTTCTACTCCGTATACATGTGCCCTCGGTCTCTCTCCTTCTCTCTCTCTCTCTCTATTTGCCTGTGTGTCTATATGCATGTATAAATACATTGTGTGTCGTACCTCTCTCTCTGTCTGCGTTTCGCTCTCTCCCCCTGTCTCCCTCTGATTATTTTGGTCTCCCCGCTCGGGCATTCACAATTGACAGGCGCCGCCGCTTTCCCAGTCGCCTCGTAATCCCGTGCGCACCGTTGGCCTGGGCAACCCCAGACCATCAAGAAGAGCACCGCAATGTTCAGACTGATCCTTGGTGGGAGGGCACGCACGCTGTTTCCGTCAGCCGAGTTTGGCCCGACTACCTTGCTGCATTCAGAGGGCGAAGTTTGTCCCACTGCTCCGTCCGAAGCTGCCCGACCGCGCTGCCCGAATGTCAGCCTGTGATTCGCACATACCCCCGCGGCCTTCGACGGCTGGTGAGTAGAGTCCACGCGGCGTGACAGTTGTTCCACGCTCGGCAGTGGATGGCGCGCGACATCGCCATGGATGAATATAAACCGCACGCCGCTTCCGAGCGAGAGCAACCTTGCACAGCGCAGCGCAGCACATGCGCCAGCGTTGTTTCAGCGAATTTGTGTTATGGTTGAGTCAGTGGACGCTGTCCATTGAGTTGGGCTTGCGAGCGTGCGTCGCTCGGGGCTCGATGTTTCGTTTGGCGTGTTTCGCGTTGTCTGTCGATCCTTTCCGTCTTGAGGGACATGAGTTCATTTCTTCGACGGGCCTTCGTTGCCCCCTTCGTCACCGTCGAGGTAGTTTTTTCGCGCGGGGGCTGTGCTAGACGCTAGACGCCAGGCCGATTCCACACCGAGCACCTGTTTCGCCGTCCTTGTACCCTTTCTTTTTCTAGCATCTTCCCCTGTCTTTCTTCTTGCTGTTTTCCTCTCACCCAACCACCCCGCTGTATCGGAGTCGAGCCCTCTGTTCGGCGGCCAGGTGCCGGCCTCAATCGCCGGCGCCGCCGTGATGCGCCTCAATTCGGCTGGGGCCCCGCGGCCGTTCGTCGGAACACTCTTTCTTCGTCGGCGGCGAGGCGGAGGCGATCCGCAGCAGCGTCGGGCTAACCGGGGGCACCGGTTGGCAGATTGTCCGGCGTGCAAGAGATGGGGGGGGAGAGAGGCGCTCAGAAGCGGAAGCCTTGCGCGGTGAGCGGGCCCGGGGCGGCCAGCCAGGGCAGCGAGGTCGCGGCAGCAGCCGGGGGCCAGGGCCAGGGCGCACCTGCGGGCGCTGCCAAAGCGCAGCAGCGGTGAAGAGCAATTAGAACCGGCACAGGAGCCCGAGGATTGCCACCAGCAAGATGGGCTCGTTGGAACACGCACTTTGTTGGAAGCCCTTCGCCCAGAGTGCTTGTTCCATCATAAGCAAGGCTTCCATGTCATCCAGAGCGGCGAGGTTGACCTGGAGCGTGCCTGCCTTAGCCTGGTCGGCTGCAGCGGGCGCGTCATCCGAATCCCCGGGCACACCTGCGGTGTTGGCTGATGTTCTTCCCATGTGCCAGAGCCGCCTGGGCCGTGCGCGGGTCCCGCTGGGCGCCCCGAGGTGCAGGGCTTGGCAGCGCGTCGGCATGAAACCAGGTGCGCTTCGCAGGAACGCACGGGGCGGAAGAAATCCGTCACGAAACGGCAAGACGCGCCCCCAGTGAGCCTCGTAAGCCCCCATAAAGACCCCAATGTGGTGCAGCAAAACGTCCCCGAGTTGGCCGCGAAAGGGCTCCAAGAGGGCCCCATGAGCGACTCAGGAGACCAACGCGCTCGGGTTAAAGCCATTTGGAGTTCTCCTGACCTGGCCGTTTCTCAGGCACTCCTCTTTCCTCCACGGTTTTAGCTCTTCGGCCATTGCATTTCGCCCGTCCCTCCTTGCTCATCATTCCTTTGTTGTCATTCCTCCTCGTGTGTCTCTCCTGGCCCCTGCCCTCCCTATCGGCCGCTCGCGCCCCCTTGCCCGTCCTACGCCCTCGGCCATCCCTCTTCCCTTAATTCCTGCCTCTGCATCACAGGCGCTCCTGCCTTCTCGCTCTTTGATCTTGCTGATCTCGCCTCGCTCCTCGCTTCTCCCCTCGCCGATGCTCTCACGAGCACCAGGTTGCATCAGCAAGGAGAATTGACGATAGTCAGCACATTGCAGCATCAATCATCCCAAACGGGCATGAGCAGCACGGCGTAGAGCAAACACTTGCATGTACAAGTGGTTGTCAGCACCGCCCTGCGTACACAATCAGCAGCAATCGGCCATCACGATTCGCAACACGCGAAGGGCGGCAGCAACACGCAGCAGCACGCACCACCAGGTACGCATCACCAGCCATCACAACGCCGCAGCAGCAGCACGCAACAGCGCCGAGGCGCATCAATCAACGGCACGCAACGGCGAGCAACAGCCCGCAGCGGTAAGGGACAGCAACAGGTGTGTGTATTTCTATAATATATATGTATATATATATATATATAGATATTGGCACGTTCCGCAAACAGCATGCACAGACTGTCAAAACGCGGCAGGACTCAGCAGCGAGCAACAGGTAACCACTCACGTCCGCAAGCAGGCGGGCCGTGGCAACACGCACGCACAAGCCAGGCTGACACCCACGCAATCAGGTCGACAGGGCAGGATGAGGCCCTCAAGGATGAATGTCCATGTCCCCAGATGTGACACTGGAAACCAATGGCAACACCATGCAAGCATACACTTGCCAGAGCTCTAAACCGCTCCGCTTCTCCTCACTGTTCGAGCCAACGCCGCTCTGTGAGGGTTCCGATTATGCCCTTCATCCTTCCTCTTTCTTCCTACCCGCTCTGGAAGCTTGTAGTAGAGCCATTGGGTACCGGTTGAACCCCTTGGGGCCCCCTTATAATTTTCGAGCAAGTGTTTCTGACTATGGCATCTTCCTCCTCTTCCTCCTTCTCTTTCTCCTGATTTCTTTTCTCATCCTGTCCTACTTCTCCTGCCTACCTACCGTGGAAGCCCATTAAACCACAGAGACCCAGTAGATCTTGTCGCCTGACTCTAGCAACAAGTTCGAAGCCCCTCCTCTTCTTTCCTTTGAACGCCTTGTCCCCGTCGCCCTACTCACTGTTGGAGGAATGGTATTAACAGGGGAGGAGGAAGATGACGACAACGTCAAGGGAAGCAGACCCCGCGCAGCTCCCCCAGTCCTCCTCTGCCTCCTGCTGCCTCCTCATTCTCTTCCTCCATTCTGCCTGCGTGCGTCGGCAGGACCCTCCCCCCCCTCCTGATGACGCGGGTTATCGTTGATCCCAACAACAACAACAATCGTATGGTTGGAGTCCTTGGGATGGTGATCTGGCACGGTTTAGGATTCTCAGGACGTGATTCGCAGACACGTTCATTCGCGGTGTTGACATGACAGGTGGTGTTCTTGTGCGAATTAGGTTTGCGAGGGTGTTTTAGTCACGTTGGTCCGCGGCGGAGTCTCAGGAACTATTGTAAGACTATTGAGACTTCTCTAACGGTTGTCTCCTGATATGCCGGATTGATGTTTGCATGCACCCGTCAAGAGGGAACATGGAAGGGGGGATTTGCTGCAGCATCGCGGGTGCGCTTTGAGTTTTCATTGGTCCTCATCCTTTTGCCTGTCTCCTCAGCCTTGTCTTCCCTACTCCCTCCTTGTCGCACCCGCTTGTCCTCGTCGTCCTCCTCTTTCTCCTCCCGAATCCTCCATCCTCCTCCTCGCTCCTCCTCCTCCTTCTCCTCCCCTGCCTCCTCCTCGCTTATCCCTCCTCCGCCGCAGACGGCGACAAGACGACACCGCACCACGCGTGCAGGCCGTCGCCAGCTGGCCGAGCCGCGCGTGCTAGCGGGGAGGCGGGGGCGCGGCCGCGCCCACGCGCCGAGATGGCGTTCCGCGCTCCAGCGGCGCCGGTGCGGGCTGGCCAGGCACGGCGGCGGGTGTTCACGGGGAGCGTTCGAGGGGGAGGAGGAGGGAGAAGGCAGGAGGGAGTTGGAGGACGGAGGGAGGAGGGGAAGGGGGAGAACATTCTGTTTAAGTAACTTCCAGAAGACTGCAGTTTTAATATCCCCTCCCCTGGAGCTCTCGGCGGTGAACAAAGGCCCTCCCTCCTCCTTCCCTTCTCCTCCTCCTCCTCCTCCTCCTCCTCTTCCTCCTCCCCCCTCCCTCCTCCCCCTCCTCCTCCCTCCTCCTCCTCCTCCTCCTCCTCCTCCTCCTCCTCCTCCTCTCCTCCTCATAACTCCTCCTCCTCCTCCTCCTCCTCCTCCTCCTCCTCCTCCTCCTAGCCCTGAGTAGCTGGCGCCGCCGCCCTGCCGCGCGGGCGCCCGCGCGCTCGCCGCGCTCTCTGGTCGCGCTGCCGTGTTGGTCTGCCCCCAGTCGAGGGGCCGACGGTGGGCGGTCGAGGAGGAGGAGGAGGAGGAGGAGGGAGGAGGAGGAGGAGGAGGAGGAGGAGGAGGAGGAGGAGGAGGAGGAGGAGGAGGAGGAGGAGGAGGAGGAGGAGGAGGAGGAGGAGGAGGAGGAGGAGGAGGAGGAGGAGGAGGAGGAGGAGGAGGAGGAGGAGGAGGAGGAGGAGGAGGAGGCCCCCCTCTGCAAGAGCGCTGCCGCCCTGGGGTCCAAGTTGGCGCATCTTCCAAGAGAGGTCCCTCGGCGTGGCGCGCAACGGCGAGGGATCCCCAGGTGTTCGGGCCATGCGTCGTGGGACCCCCAGCGATCCCCAAGGCGGCGAGGGATCCCCAGGGAACCCCAGGGACCCCTGTGGCGGCGAGGGATTCCCAGGGATCCCCAGACGTCGTAGGTTCCCCAGACTCGGCGGCGAGCGAGGGGGGGAGTGAGAAGGAGAAGAGCACTCTCGGAAGGTTCGAGAGTCCCCTGGCCTTCTGAGAAGTTCTCCAATTAAGCGCGCCCTATAGGAGTCTTAGCTCGAACCCTACTAATTGGTCCGTTGCCCCCCTAATTCATATGCCCCCCCTAATTCCTATGGCTATGCCTATGCCTATGCCCATGCCTCTCCCCTAACTCCTATGCCTACTTCTATGCCCATGCCCATGCTTGCTTGCTTGCTTGCACGCTTGCACGCTTGCACGCTTGCCGTCACCGTTGCTTGCTTGCTGAGTTGCGGATTCCAAGCATGCTTGATTCCTTTGATTCCTTGATTTGAGCCGTCTAATCTATTTGGAGTCAACGCTGGCTGATATTTTCTACGCCTTCCCCGAAGACGCAGAACATTTCTCAGAAGGCCGGCGGGCTTCTGAGGAGCCCCGCCGCCTTCTGAGAAGGCTTTGCCCTTCCCACTTCTCCCCTCGCCCGCCGCCGAACGACGGCGAGGGATCCCCAGGGATCCCCAAGACGGCGAGGGATCCCCGGGAATCCCCGAGCCGGCGAGGGACCCCCGGGTGTCTGGGCCGCGTGTCGTCGCTGCGGTCCTCTCCTGCGGTGGGGCTGCCCCCCCTGGCGTGGGCCTGCCTTCTCGGGCCTCCCGGCGCTATGCCCGCGAGCCGCGCGGCGGGGGAGAGGTCTAGCTGGGTAGTCGAAGGCCAGACTGTCAGATTGGATTGGGCCCCAAGGGTCAGAGCCCCGAATCATCAGGGGTAACTCGGGTCAGGGATAACTCGGGTTCCTTTTTCGGGAACCCAAACCCGAGTTATCCCGGGCCCGAGTTACCCCGGATAACTCGGGCGCCCAGAGCCCCAGATCATCAGGGATAACTCGGGTCAGGGCTAACTCGGGTTCCTTTTTCGGGAACCCAAACCCGAGTTACCCCGGACCCGAGCTACCCCGGATATCTCGGGCGTCCAAAAGGGCCAATCTGGCCCGGCCAAGCTGGATGATTCGGGTGATTCGCCAGACCGGATTCGCGTTGGCTCCCTCGCCAGATGGCCCCCGTTTGCCGGATTGGGCCTGCCAGATTGGGCCTGCCAGATTGGCTTGGACTACCTCGGTCTGGCCCCCCAGACGGGGAAAAAACGCAGGGAGACACAGCATCGTCGATTCCCCAGGGGAACTGTGGGGCACATGCGGGAAGGGGAGGGGAGGGGACGGTCCAGAGACTGGGGGGGAACCTGGAGGATCCTGCGATGTGTGTCTGTGTGTTGTGTGTGTGTGTGTGCCCCTGGGCCCCTTCAGATCTTCCCTCCCCCCTCCTCATCCCCCTTCCCCCCTCGCTCTACTCCTCATCCTCCGCCTCCACGTCCTCCTCCTCCTCCTTCTCATCCTCCTCCTCCTCTTCCTGCTCTCAGGGGCAACGAAAGGGGGGGGATAGGCTCAGGGCGAGACGCATCGACACCCATGCACCCATTCGTCGCCGATAGAGGCATGATAGCCTACAGTGCCCAGGAGCGTGCGGTGCCGCTATCACCCCCCCTTATCATTCCTTTTCATTCTCTCTCCTCCTCCTCCTACGTCTGTCCTGGCAGAGGTGGCCAGTCAGACAGACAGGTATGGGAAAGCTCCCATGGAGGACAATGGTCGTGGTTTGAGGATCGCGCGTTTTTTGTTTTTAGGACGCACTCGCTCGTGGGAAGCGCTGTGTGGCCGAAGCCGATCATTGCCCTGAGGGTTGAGGTTTGGGGGGCGGCGGCCAGCTTCAGTGGAGGGCGGCTGGGCCGAGAGGAGCTCACAAGAAGGATGATGATCAAGGTTCGAGGATCGTGGTTTGTTCAATTCCCAGCCATCTTGTGGAGTTGGGTCCTTTTTGAATCCGCAGCGGCGCGCGTCTCCTTCCTCCGCCCCCCCCTGGTCCTCTTCTTTGTTCTCATGCTGGCCCATTTCGGCACACCCCTCACACGCTTCGTGGCTCCAAAGGGAGCCCTACCTGAGGCCCCAGTGGGCGCGAACGCATGGCGTGGCGCACCTGCCTCCAAATCGGCGCACCCCTCAGGCGCGTCTTCGCCCCGTAGGAAGCTCCACTGGAGGCCCAAAGTGGGCACACCCCACGCGCGTCGTGGCCCAACATGGTGCCCCACCTGAGGCCCCAGTGGGCGCGGTCGAAGGGCGCACCCGCCTTCAACTCGGCACGCCCCTCACGCGCTTCGTGGCCCCATTGGGAGCTCCACCAGTGGCCCCTGTGGTGTCACAGTGTTGCTTCCTTGCAGTTATCAGAGGCTGTGTCAAGGGCATCTCGAGCGGGGTCCTGAGGCCTCCTTGCATTGCATTTCCGAGAGACTGCAGTCACGTGGTAGTTCGGGAGATGTCCGAGAGGCGGGCTTTATCTTCATTTCGAGCACTCAGAGCCCTGGCGGGACATTCGACTGCGCCTAGATGTTGTATCCTTGTATCCTTTCTCCATCCCTCCCTGCCCCTCCCGCCCTCCCTCAACGATCCATCCCTCTCCCAACCTTTCCCTCCCTTGAGTCGACGTCCGTCACTACAGGCGTGGGATGCCGAACGGGGCGGTTGTTGGCTCCAAGCCGGTTGTTGAAGCGGCCCGAGGGCCGGAGTTAACACCGTTGTCCATAGTGCAGTTCTTTTCAATTTTTTCCTATCTTCCTCCTCGCTGCGCGCTGCCCGTTGCAAGCCTCAGTCCACGAGTCTCGGCGACGCATAGAAGACACACCAAGTTTCTGCATAAGAGGCTCAGGGGACGCCTAGGACCATCGCAGGCTCTGGGGGGGAAGGCAAGGGTTAGTCGGCCCCATCTAACCGAAACCTTGGGTTACATCCGCTCTCCATGGACGCTCTCACTCGGCCTGCCTCTCCGCTCCCCCCTTGAAGAGCTGGACAGCAGGGATTGGCTGGGAAAGTCGGGGGCGGGCCGATAACCTGCTCAAGGGGACGCCTAGGAGAAGAGAGGCGGCCGAGAGGAAAGAGGAGAGCGGAGGGGGTTATAGTACATGTCGAAGGCCCCTCCCGCTAAGGCTGGCAAGCCCGTGGCTGCTAAAACGGAGCTCTGGGAAATTGGTGTTTTCTTCTGGAAAGCAGCCCGTTTGTTATTCGTCGGGATCTCGCAAAGTGGGTGTGCCCCGTGTGTGTGTATGTGTGTGTGTGTGTGTGTGGGTGAGGTCGATCTCTTGTTGCACCGAACCGCCCATAGCAGATGCCCCCCAGTCGCCGGCAGCTCCCGATAGTTGCCTTAGGGTTGGGCATGCGGTGGGCATCTGTTTGCGGGATCGGTGCGCCAGCGGACCGGACTCATGCTCCCCCTCAGGGTCACCCCTTTTTTGGTGAATCCCCAATTTAATGCGCTGAGTTTCATTCCGGGAATTTGTTTTTTTCTTCTGGGAAGACCGTTTTAGCAGTCACGGATTTGCCAGCCCCAGCCTTCGCCCAGCTTCCAATATGACATTACTGGCGGTGGTGCCTCCCTCTCCCTCGCCCTCCCTCTTCCTCCTCCCCCCCCACACGATCCGCTGCGCCCCTCTCCGCCACTGCCCGGGAGGCCACTTCCGCCGCCGAGGGCGGCACGGCGGGCGCACATCTCGGCAGGCGGCCCTGCCTTTCCTCATTCGCACTCTCTTTTTGTCTCAGGCGTCAGCGTTTGCAAACGAGATCTCCAGGCAGTGATTGATGGCACTCTGGATATGGGAGCGGTGTGGGGGCAGTACACGTGGCGCAAGCTACGCGGTGCAAACAATGCGCCACAGTTCGTGGTGTGGAAACGACGTGAAGCATGCAATATGGCCTGTCGCAATCTACGTGGTGCAATTATTGTAGCTGCTTCGCGTGACCCCACTGGCCCGTCCATGAACGATGCCCAGACGAGTTGCCCTGATCAGGGACATGGGGGAGCATGCAGCGGAATAAAGGGCTGGGTCATATTCATACCCCAAGAGGGGGAAGATGGAGGATGAATCGTAGGAAGAGCAGGAGGAGGACGAAAAGGGAGAGGGGGAGGGGGAGGATGGAAGAGGAATGAGGATGAACAGGCGGAGGAGGAGGAGGAGGAGGATCAGGAGGAGGAGGAGGAGGAGGAGGAGGAGGATAAGGAGGAGGAGGAGGACGGCGAGCAGAAAGGCCAGAGGCCTCTTGGATGCCTCTCGGAGTCTCTTCGGATGTATTTCGAGAGCTTCTTGGAGTGGTCTTGGATCTTGGGACGTCTTAGGGGGTCTCTTGGCAGTCCCAGAGGCCTCTTGTGGCGTCTTAGGGGGCCTCTTGGCAGTCTCGGGGGCCTCTTGGGGCGTCTTGGGTGCCTCTGGGGGGCCTCTGGGGGCCGCTTGGCGGTCTCTTGGGGGCCTCTTGCGGGCCTCTTGCGGCCTCCTGGGCACATCTTGGAGCCGTCTTGAAGCACCCTTGGGAGCCTCGGGAGCCATTTTTTGAAGGAGATCGACCACAGGAGGGGTCGTACTTACTTTGCGCTGCCCCCACAGGAGGCTAAAGTGTGAGTGCATGTGGAAGATAGGCGATCGGGATGGATCGCATGTAGCTTGCTCTGTCCCACAGAGGGGGCGACAAGTTCGGGCTTCTGGGGGTGGTGGAGTCCATCTTTCTTTGGAAGGCGAGAGTCGACGTGGTGCAAACGATGTGGCGCGACGGGGATCCCGCCAGCGTGCAGGGCGGCGACCAGGCGTGCGACGGGCATCGACCGCGCAGAAGCCCCGACAAGGCCCAGCCGGCGCGCGAGGCGGCGAGGAGGCGCCGACCGGGGCCCACCGCGGGACGGTTGTGGAGGTGCCGGCCAGTGCGCGGGCCGGCGACCGGGCGGGGACGGGCGCCCGCGACGGTAGGAACCCATGCCAGAAGTGTTTGGAATCCCAGGCCAAGGGATACCCTGCTTGCCTCCAGGGTGCCCCAGGTTTCGCGGGTTTCGACGGGTTTGCGATGGAAAGGGTGACGTTCCCACACCAGAATTCAATGGACGTCCCGGGGTCTCAGGGTTGGGTTTTTTTGTGGAAGGCCTCTTGTGGTCGAACACTTACTGTATGAGAAAGTCTGGAGGACGCCGCCAGTGCTCCTGTTGCGAGGCTACGGCTGCGCCCAGTCCGCCCTGAAGGGGCCCAGGCGAATGCCCGAAGTCGGGGGTTCGCTGAGGGGGTGTTATCCCAAGGTGGGGTAGGGAGCGAACCTAGTTGGATGCTCAAGTGTCCTTCTCAAGCGGGCCGAGTACAGCGATGTTCCTCTGACCCTACCCCACCTTGAAGTCCCCCCGACAAAGAAGAGTTTTGTTGTTCCGTTCTGTTCTTCCCAGTATCATTATCATTCCTCTCCACAGTCCTCCAGGGGCGGAGGAGGATACAGGGGCGGAGTAAATCAGAAAGAGGCCTACCTCTCGCCTCATTCCTTTCCCTCTGTTGTCTCTCAATCCCTCCCCATCAGCCGTCCCCCTCCGCCTCTTCTTTATTCTGTCCCCCTATCCCCGCCCAGCACGTCCGCCCTCTTCTCCGCCCCTGACCCCTCTTGTTTCCCCTCTCCCTCCCCTCCCCCCATCAGGTCCCGATCCCTTACCCTGGGTCGGCTCTTCGTCCTGAGTCGTTGCCTTTGGCCCCGGGGTCAGGCAAGATCCCACGGAGGCTGAAGATTGCAAACGACCCCCCGCCGCGGTTCTTGCAGGACGGGGGGGGGCGCGCGGGTAGCACGCCATTGGCTCCCCGCCGTTGCATGAGCCTTTTTTCTCGACGGAGCACCGCGCCCACGCTCATCCCATCGTCCTGCCACCTCCCTCCCTCCCTGGGCAGGCGGCGCGGCGGCGCCGCGCTGGCGCTCGCCGCCGCGGTGGCCGGGCTGGCGCTGCTCTCCGTCCTGTCTGCGCCGCGCGTCGCGCGGGCGGAGCAGAGCCTCGAGGACCTTCCTCGCTGGCTTTTGGGGTCGGGAGCCTTGAGATCGGGGTCAATGCAAACAGGGGTCAGCCAGATCGCCCCGATCTTGCAGGATCCTGCAGGGCCTGGGTCGCATTGAACCGGGTTTGGGTGCAGGATCCTGCAGGATCTTGCAGGATCCTTCGCATTGACCCGGGTTTGGGTGCAGGATTTTGCAGGATGTTGTAGGAGTCTGCAAGGCCTGACTGACCGGATTTGGTTTGACCCGGGTCAGAAGATCCCCGAGGGGGAGGGGGGAGGAGGAGGAGTTGGAGAAGTTCATATATTACCAGCAGTTTAGTCGCATTGTCGTCGCCGTGTCGTCGTCCCTCCCCCCAGAGGCGCCAGAGGATTCGGATAATCTCCGCGCCCTTGCGGGGCTTCGTCGCCCTTGCGGTTTCCGTTGTTGATTTCTACAGGCGCCCTAGTGTGAGCAGCCCTTGAGATGGCGACAGCTCCTAGGGGCGGGGGCTGGTTGCAGCCTCCGGCCAAAAACTCCGATGCCCAATTGCACCTACAGCCGGATAAGGGGGAGGGATGAGGAAAAGGTTCTCATTTGTGTTTGGATTAGCTCTCTTCCCATCCAGGTAAGAGAGCGGAATTGTAGGACAAGGGCGAGGAGGAGGAGGGAGGAGGGAGGAGGGAGGTGTGGGGAGAAAGGGGGAGGAGGGAGAATAATGAGAAGGACGAAGAGCTGGATAAGGAGCAACAGGAGGGAGAAAGGGCAAAAGTGCTCTCTCAAAATAATGGCCTTGGTACTCCAGTGTAACCTCTGTGCGAAAGAGAAGAATAAGAAGAACATGACAACACATAAGCAATGGGGAAGAAGAAGAAAGAGTTTTAGCGATGAGGACGGAAAGGGGGATGGAGGAGGCGCTCCTCGCGGGGTCGGCTCCGTTCGTTCCGCCATTGCTTAGACTTGCCTGTCGGCGGCTTGGTCGGCTGGGCTGGCCCCAGCCTGGTCTCGGGGGTCACATGTCGACTCCAGGACCTGTCCCCAATCGAAATGCAGATGCTATCCTCGTCCTGGCTTCGTCTTGCGTGCCGATGGCCAGAAGACCCGGCGCAGGTCCTGAGCATCGTATCGCACGGGGGGCTTGCCGAAGAGCAGCCCCCCGGAGGAGGGCAGCAGCCAGGGCCGCTCCCTTGGCGTGGCGGCGTGGCACCCGGTGGCCGGCGCGGGCTCGCGAAAGAGGCGGCCACGAGGCGTCTGGATCGGGACGATCGACATGGGTCCGGAAAGACTGGGTACCATGCCCAACAGCAGTCGGGGGCGGACAGAACCCCCAACAGTGACACGTCGATTAGTGAATTGTCCGTTTTCGGTTCTCGAGATGGCGCCGTGGCCGTTATTTTCCAGGCTTGCGCCCGCCAGGTTTGGGCCTCAGGTCGTTTTCACTAAACCACGTTTTCCTAAAGGGGGGTCTGTCCATCCCCGAAGCAGTTCCTGTTCATTTTGAACAGGGCTCGCTGCCCGCGCTGCCGCGGACGTTGTTCTTTGGAGAAACAACAGGCCTGCCCGACAGCGGCCGCTGTCGGTTGGGCCAACGCTTGCTGATCGGCATTGTGCCCATTTTTCCGTACCCCCTTCGGGCGTCCAAACGGAAGGGGCACCAGCCGCAACCCCAACAGACCCTTCCATGCCGTGACGAAGACGGGCAATAGCCCCTGACAGCGAGCACTCTCTGGGGAGTTTTGGCAGACATGTCGTGTGGCAGTGCATTTCGCACAGTGGAGTGCAATTCCGTGATGCTCGTCCTTGGAGGACCTCCAGGAGAGGGGGGGAGGAAAAAGAGGAAGGTGGGTGACGGTGGGGGGAGGGGGGAGGAGGATGAAAAGGAGGGACAGAAACTAGCCGAGGTGTGCAAGGATGAGGTGGAGGCGTCCTCCATCTCCTGTCTCTCTCTCTCTCTCTTTCTCTTTCTTGTTCTATTTCCCACTCCATCTCCATTTCGTCATCGCACTCTTTCTGTCTCCTTTTGACCGCATTGTTGGCAGAGGAGGGCGAGCACCTGAGGCACGGGCCCACCCCTCCTGGGCGTCCTGGGAGGGCAGGAGTGCGTAGCGCATCAGGTCATTCTCAGCCGAATCATTGGTTGCCTTCTCTTCCTACCCCTCCTGCGAGGTCGGCCAATGTCACCGTTTATTTGTTCTGCTTCCCGAAGCTTCCAGTGACATCTGAAGAAGTTTTGAGACCGGAGACATCTGGAGAGCTTTGGAGACCCCTCCTGGGACTTTCGGGGACCTCCGCAGGACCTCGTTGCATTGGCTAGGGGCTACAGGGTTCCTAGTGTATGTTCTTTGTTTTTTTTCCTAGGGATGTCCCGCAATTCAAGGCACAACTGGTGCAAGTAAACACGCCGTTCACCGTTTTAGGATTCTCGTGTGTTTTTGGTTGCAGTAGATACGTTCCTTTCTACCAGGACTACATGGAGATGAAGGCCCAGCAGAACAGGGAGGCGGCGAGGAAGGGCTGCCTGGTGACGGTGGACGGGGCACCATCGCTTAGCGAGTAGATTCGGGAGGGTGGCGAGGAACGCTAAGACGGCATTGAAGATGACCCGTAGAGGCAGGAGGAGAAAGCGAGAGATGAGGGGAAGGATGGATGGCGGATGGACAGGGGGAGGGAGGAGGAGGCAGGGAGGGCGAGAGGGAGGGGAGGAGGACTAGAGGTGCGAGCGGGAATGGGAGGGAGAGGGATAAAGGGTAAATGAGGAACGGGGACGATCAAAGGTGGAAGGCGGTGGAGGCGGATGATGATGATGAAGAAGATGATAATGGTGATGATGATGATGATGATGATGGTGGTGGTGGTGGTGATGCTGATTGTGACGACGATGATGACGATGGTGATGATGATTATGATGAAGATGCCGATGATTGGAGATGATGATGCTGATGATGATGAGGATGTTGATGATGATGCTGGCAATGACGATGACGATGACGATTCAGATGATGGTGATGATTATGATGCTGCTGATTATGATGATGATTGCGACAATGGTGATGATGTTGATGATGATGATGGTGACTGAGATAAGGATGATGGTGATCATGATGCTTGTCATGATGATGGTGGTGATGAATATCATGATGATGGTGATGATGCTGATGCTGATGGTGACTCTGATGATGATGACAATGATGATGATGCTGGTGATGGTGAGGATGATGATGACGATGATGATGATGCTGATGATGATAAAGGACTGATGTTGTTGATGATGGTGATGATGACGGGGCTCAGGAGGAAAAGTAGCATGCAGCCAAGGATACGCAATACCACGAACGCAACTTATTTAGACTAATGATGATGTATAATGCGGTCTGTGGCCCATCCCGCCACCGTGCCTAGCTAGTGTCTCCTGAAGAGTCCGGTTGTTTTGGGATATCTCTCTGGGCCCTGTTTGAGGCCGCACTCGGGCAAGTTTCGGGCACAGTTTCGCCCCGCTCTGTTTCGCTGTTTCACTCTACTTCCCTCATCATGCTGCCGCCTGGCCGCTCGGTCCTCGAGGGCGTGTAAGTTTGCGTGGTGATTCATGGAGCTTCCAGTGCGCCTTAGCTTGAAACCCATCGTGGGGCTTAGATTTTTCCTGCCCCCCTTGCTCCCTCCCCCTCCTCCTTCTTCGTCCTCTCCTCCTCCTCCTCCTCCTCCTCCTCCTCCTCCTCCTCCTCCTCCTCCTCCTCTTGCCCCTCTTAGTTTACGTGGTCACTGTCGGAGCTCGGGCTCTGCTTTGAAATTGTTTTTCGGTAGTAGTGCCGAGGTCGCGCGCAACTGCGCGCCGATCGCAGGTTGGCCCGAACGTTGAACCTGGTCCTCTCCATCTCCCTTTTCCATCCCCTCTCCCTCCTCTCCTCCTGCCCCCTTCTCCCTCCTCTCCCTTTCCCATCCCCTCTCTCCTCCTCTCCTCCCTCCATCCCCTCTCCCTCCTCTCCTCCCTTTCTCCATCCCTGTTGGAGCACCTTTTCCATCTCCCTCTCCCTCCTCTCCTCCTGCCCCCTTCTTGGTTAGGACCGCCTGCCCGGCACGACTTGCTTAGGACCGCCCGCCCAATTTAGCTGACGCGCGTTGGTCAGGACCGCCCGCCCGACACGACTTGGTCAGGACCGCCCGGCTAAAAAACGCGGATTCACAAATGTGAAGCGTAGTTAGTCTCTCTGCACCTTCCCTCCGCACTTGCTTGCATCCGTCTCACTTCCCCCTTTGCTCCCATTGTCTTCTCCGCAGCCTTTTGGGTCGCAATGAAAAAACGCCCAGACTGCCGAGGCAAAAGGTTGATCACCGGCTTTTGCGGCGTTTGCTCCGCCATGCGTTGGCGCACCAGCGACAGTGGTGGTGCATCATCGCCGTCTTGGCATACAACTTTCTGTTGCGGATGCCTTTTGAGTTGCTCGCGCAGTGCAAGCGTGATCTTGTACAGGTCGCTGGGGGGCGTTTTATATTTTGGCCCCATCAGGCGAAAGCAGCGGGTGGATCTGTGCACCCTTCATGCTTTTTGCTTGTGCGGCACGGACGAGGGCATTTGTTTGCACACTTGGCTTCCTGTGTGGGACCATGCGATCGCAGCTGGGGGCCCTCCGTTTGGCGGGTATACGCTTGCGACGTGGACGGCCGAATTCCGGCGCCATTCGCAAGCCGTCGGGGTCGCCAGCCCCGAGGTGTGGTTTGGGCACGATGTCCTGCGCGGAGCTGCGAGCGACGTCTTTGCGGCCTCCGGAGTCGAAGCCATGCTTTCCCGTGGTGGCTGGCGCTCAATCGCGTCCGCGCGACCGTACGTGTCGGGCGACGAAGTTGCAGCTGGCCTGCTCGCGCAAGGGGTCATCGATGATTCGGGCCCCGAGAATTGAGCGCGGCCACGTGTGCGCGTTTGCCCGCTGCACCGTGGCCACCCCCCTTTTTTCCGTTCCATTGGCATCGGGGCCGGGGTGTGACCTCGCGTGCGCGATTTGGCCAATGAAGAAAAGAACGCGTAGGAGGAGGAATTGGAGCAGGAGCTCACGCGGATTACACATGTGAAGCGTAGTTAGTGTCTCTGCACCCTCCCTCCGCACTTGCTTGCATCCGTCTCACTTCTCCCTCTGCTCCCTTTCTCTTCTCCGCAGCTTTTTGGGTCACAGGGGGGGCCGCTTGTCCCGCCCTCCCACCCTCTTTCTCCCTCTGGTGCCGCTGCGCCTGGGGGCCGGGGTGCGACCTCGCGTGCGCGACTTGGCCGATGAAGAAAAGAACGCGTAGGAGGAGGAAAAGGAGCAGGAGCTAACAAGTTTCGGGCACAGCTCCATGACAAGGACCAAGCTACGTTTCATGCCCCCAGGCCAGACAATTTCTCGAGGCCGCGCACGCGCAGCCCAACATATCGATATCCTTCGTGGGACTGCGCCAGCGCAAGACTGTCAACCCTGTGCGGGCTGAGCGCCTGCTGCGCGCGTTGGAGCGTTCTTTAGCTTGCATTCATCAGCCGTTGCGTCGTGCTGATCAGGCGCTAAGAGCGACTTCAGCGATCAGGAGCAGCGCAAGTCGCTGATCAAGCGGTGGATTTCGGTGGGCGTTGCAGTCGCCGTCCTTCTCGGGCCAGTAGCACCGGTTCACCGTTCGGTCATACGTACTCTTGGGCGTGGCGGCTGAACATGTCGAAGAGTTCGCGGAGGCTGTTGCGCGACTGTCGACGCATACGCCCTCAAGTTACCGTTCGAAAGGTTCGCACTTCTGTTGCAGGCAAACTTACGCAAGCCTGTGTGCTTCTGAGGGATAGACTTACCCGGCGAGGTCAGCGCTGCCTATGTTGGTTTTTGTCGTTGCCAATGGATCTTCGCATGAGCTGGGAATTGGGCCGCTGGCTGAGGGGTCGCCTGTCGATTTCCGGGTCCCCTGGCAAATTTGTAAGAACTCGCTTTTGCCGCGCAAGCGGGGCGTCTTGGTACCCCAGTCGCTCGTAGTGTCCACGCTGCGCCCCTTTCTGCCAGCGGGGTGCCTCACGAATTATGGAGCCTTGCAAATGCGACGTGCTTTGAGCGAAGTTGGTGGCGGTGGTGGAAGCACTGCAAAGCGCCCCTCCCTGTTCATGATGCGCGTGCTCGGCGGGCACGTGGTCCTGGGCGTTCTTCTGCTGCTGGCCTGCGTCTCCGTGGACCACCTTGGGTTGAACAGCAGGATGAACCGCCAACGGGGGTCCGGGGTGTCCCGTTTGAGGATGGTGGTCGGCAGGTGAGAGCCGAGGGGGTTTCAAGCTTTCGGCCAGCCAGTGGCCTGAAAAGACCCGCCTGGCCTCCCTGGCGAAGCAGCTGTCGGAGTCTGCCGGCGCAGAGACGGCAGCCAAGTACCAGGGGCAGCCCACCACCTTCAAGAAACAGCAGGGAAGAGCAAATCTCACGGTCAATACGGTCCAAACCAGAGTAGAGCAAGCTGATGCAGCACTTCGGTGCGCGGCGGTCCACCGTGAACGCGTCTGGAGCCAGTATTTATCATGAGGCTCAGCACCATGTGGGGTCATCTTCGGAGCAGGTCGGCATCGCGCGCGCACTCTACAATGATACGACGACCAAATGTGCTAAGGCAGTGGCTCCAGGGTAACAGGCAGCCTCGACGGGAAGCCCTGGTAGCTGGACTATGGTGGCCTATTCAGCTTGGAAGACCTCGGCGAAGTTGCCGCTCAGGGGGGTGGTGATGAGGCTTAGCGTCGAAAGGAGGACTAGCAAGCCAAATCCATGGAGATGGCGCGTGAGTGTTTTGGTCATCTACGAAAACCAGCAGCGAATCTCGAGCAACGCAGGAGGCCCTGCGTTAACGTAGGGCCACCAAGAAGAGAAGCACTGCCACTCCGGCCCCTCCATCGGCGGATCATGCGCTAGGACTTCTAGGATGAGAACAGCAAGAAACAGGAACAGCGGCAGCTCGGACAGCTCCATACACCGGGACAAGCATCTGCCCGAAGCCAAGGTTGGAGTCACGCCGCGCTGTTGCGTGGCTGAGGAAGCCAAGGCCGAGCTTGCGGAGAGGCTATGGTGCAGATGCTCGCAGCCGGGTCTCAGCCACAGCCGGGGCAACAGGAGGCGCGCGCCCGTCTACGAGAGGCAAGTATGACCTGTGGCTCCGAGAGGCACTTGCTGGACGGCAACGTGGCGCACTATACGATGCCGCAGCGCGCGAGTTGTAGTCGGGACTGGCCATGAGGCTCGCCCCCCTGAGCCTGGCCCCTGGCCGCGTCACCTCGAAGCAAGGTGATCGGCGCTCGCCTCGCAGGCGCCGCCGCGTCAACTCATTCTACGACGCGCGCGTTGCCGGGGGAGCTGGATTCAGCCCCGCGGTCAGTGCGGCATTTCGATGGAGCGTCGAAAGGCACGGCCCCAGCTAAATCGTGCTGGATTCTACCAGCGCTGCCGCCGCTTGCCCTTCCTCGGGCGCCAGCAGCCGCTCCAGTTCCACTGGTAGCGGCGCAGGTGGGGGGCCCGCGTTCATCGCGGCAGCTTCGCCGGACCTTTCGCGATAGACTTGCGC